ATCCAATCTATTTTTTATGCAATGCAGCAAGAGGCCCACAGTGTAAGGTACGCACTACATGCGAGATGCAAAAAGTGTGTGTGCGAAGCCAGTCCAAACTCCACTTACGTCGGAGTTCTTTTTGACGGGTTCCTTCCTTCTAGGCCGCTTCTTCGCCAATGGATTTTCCGGGTTCGGTGCGAAATGTTACGGACGCCTGCCACGCGCAAGCACAACATCCGTAGACGCTCGCACCGAAAGCGAGGACGGGGTATCCTTCCGAAGCCTCAATGTCCGAGGAGCGTGGTATTCTGGGGGTTGACAGAGGTTCTTGTCGTCGGCCGCGACCTAGCCAACGATGGCGAGGTGGTGAGCAGGTGAGTAGGCGACTGAGCGAGTGACTGGGTGAGTGACCGGGTGAGTGACCGGGTGAGTGACCGGGTGAGTGAGGGCTAATTGGATCTGAGATTCGGATGAAGACTCTAAGGCATGTTGGACAAGATACTCGGGCATGCACACACACACACACACTGAGATACACCTCAGATGCACCTCCTCGCAACCCAGTTGCGAGGACCCTGAGGCACGGCACTCTATTCGTACGATGAGGGGGATGGTGTCTGCCGTCAAGTTTCGATAGGCAAAGGCTCCTAGGACAAAGTGTCATGCTTCATTTCGCCAAGGAAGGTTGGTTAAACGAGGAGAAGGCTCGGAAGGGGAGGGTGCGCTGCCGGTGCGGCGGCTTTTTCCCCACTACTATCGTACGGGAGAGAATGCGATGCGATACGTATCGCCTTGCTCAGCCAATGATTGGATTCCGCTACTGTTGGTTGCAGCGGCTACTCACCAGAGCAATAGTGCACTGTGCATTTCTTTAGGCATCGTCCCCCTGCCATGCCACACTCATCGATTGGTGATTCGGATGTAAGGCAAGGGGCGGGTACTTTCCTTCTTTGTGTCCCTAAAGAGGAGCGCCGGCGCGGGGAGATAACCAACTAGGTAGGCTTGTTGGGTCGGAACTTGAGGCATTGCGTCCAGGCACGAGGTCAGGTTGGCCACCTCGAGCGCGGTCGTCTGCAGCGGACGCCGTGCTACGGTCCGTCCCAACGAGCATGAGGCGAGGTGGAGGAGCAACGAGAAAAGTCTATAACTCCACTGAGATGCCTGTGCGCAATGGTTGCCTGCCCGCGAAGGAGAGAAAACGGCGGGGTGCGAGGCTCATGTCAGACTGATCAAAGCAAGACCGAACAGATAGATGAGATTGGCGTTTTCTGGACGTGCCGGATGAGAGGCAATGCCGTCAAAGCTGATCCCTAACTCGGACCAAAGAGGCAGGCATGACGGCACTCCAAGTCAGGCTTTCGGGCAACCTTGACCTAACAGCATCGCTGGACCCTGCCTCCTCCGAGTTCCTGATCGGATTCTTGTACCTATTCTATGTATCTTTTCGTTCCCGCGCGAGACTGTGTCAGCCAGCCGGGCCATGTTGTTGGTTGACCTGCCGTTTCGGGGCTGTGGTCGTTTGTGTCGTATCGTAGGTATCGCATCACGCCGGTAGACGACAAGCGGCTGAACCGCTGGATCGCACCGCCAGGGTTCATCTCTCCCAGTCGTGCGTGCGTGCGGTGTGCGGTGCTCGTAAGTGTTTCTCCACGTCACGTCGGCTGTATGCAAACGTCCTAACCGATTCGCAAGACGACTCAAGCGAGCTTGCAAGTTGCTGACCTACCCATCTCTAGGCAACTTTGCCTCGGGATGAAAAGGCAAATTTGCCCATGCTTTCAACGCACCCGCAAGGGTAACTAACGTACCAAGGGACCGACGAGACGAGACGAGACGGTCAATCGAGGTGCTCGGTTTCGTTTCTCTTGTCTCGGCTGTGCATCGGTGACAAGCAGGTGACGCTGCGTCGGAGTTAAAATGAAGAGATGGATTGTGAGGCAAAGAAACAAAAACAAACAAGAAAATAATCCGCCGACGGAAAATGAGGAATGAGGAATGACTTGCTGCCGACATCCCACATCATTTGGAGGGGGAAAACTGAAAATGGCGATGATGGCAACGAATCGGCGGCTTTCAAACGTATTTGACAGCAAGGGAAAACAGGCCGGCATATGATCGATCATTGGAGTCGCACTCGGCGCGGGCTGGTTCGTTGCTTCTTCTTCTGTCAGTCAGTCCAACGCTGCTGCGTCGAGTGTCTCCCAGGGAGCCCCTTTCCCTTTTCATTTGAGGACGACTTGTACCTGAAAGAACCTGGTAGCTGCTCCCGGGGTGATTCTCCATCTCCCTCCCCCCCCTCCTTCCCCATCCGCAAGCACGTCTAGTTCCAGAATCCACTCGTGCTTGGCCATTTCTCCTTCCACGCCGTGGTACGTACCGAGCAACTGCATCACAAGCCTAAATGTACGGACACAAATGCCACCATCGAACCTAGGGGTGGGGGGAGATAAAATGATATGTACAAGCGGGCGCCCCACCTCTCTGCTCTTGGGTGCAGCAATTGGTAATCGCGAGCTCTGTCTCTCTCTCTCTTTTGCCTGCACCCGGTCCAGTCGTCGGACATACATCGTATGTACACCACTCTCGAGTCACTGGACCAGACCTTGACGCATCCACTCAGCTGGCCGACACGCACGTACCACCTCTCCTTGCCTTGCCTTCCCTTCTACCCGTACTCTACCTACTTGATCACTCCCAGTCTCCCGCTCTCTCAAACCTGAGACTGGCTCACGCACACGGCTCAGCACCTGGTCTGGACTCATCCTTCTTCCCGCCCGTCCCCATCGATCCATCCTGGACTCCCGCTACGCAATCATCGCTGCCCGCTAGGACGCTGTATCCGTACCTACCTGCCTACCGTACAGTGGTACCAGTACCGATACGCACCAGAGCGAGCGAGACCTCCGACTCGATTGCCTCATTGCACCACGCACCCGCGCGCATCTGGGGGCAACTAGACCTACTTGATCCAGCAGTAGTGCCAAAGCCACCTTGGAGCACACCTCCATTGCCCCAGCCTAACTGTCCGTCGTGGCCTCCCGTTCTAGTGCACACACAACTCGACCACGTTACGAACACTCTGTCCAGCCAGCGGCGCTCTATTACAGTTGTCGTAGCTGCTGCCGCTGCCGTCACCCGCCGCAGCTACCAACTACGGCGAACAGCAAGAACAAGACTTTGACGGCCGACCAAGGTCCGGCTCGGTTCGGTTCCCCTTTGAGCGCACTTCGCAACTCCGCCGGCCACAGCCCAGCTAGGCCCAGCCCAGTCTATTCGGCAGCCAAAGGTGGCTTTGTGTGTGACCTCGGACCAAGGCAGACAGAAATAAGAAAGGAAGGAAACCAAGCAACAAAAAGACGAAGGCGACATTCTGGAGCTCAGCTGGTTCAGGTTACTGTGCCCTGAGGTATCGCTGCGTAAGTCTGCCTACCATATATCTCTCCCGTCGTATCTCTGTCCCGCCCCCTTTTTGGGTTGCCCCCCCCCCAAGCACCCCGTACCGTGCCTTGGCCCATCCATGTCTTGTCTCGTCATCCTCGGGACAAAGAACTGGAGACTCTTCTCTGCTAGCTGCCGTCGGCGGTTCGTGGCCCCAGTTCCCTTCCACTTTTTCCTTGTACTGTAGAATCGAAAGTGTGTCTCTTCGGCGTGACCTCTTGTTTCTGCCTGGTCCGCTGTCCCCCTTCACATTTGCTACTTTCACCTCACCCCCTTTGCCCGTGTCCTACGACCGCCTACGAGCACGCTTCATACATTTTTCCTCTTGGCCGAGAGCCCAAGAGTATTCCTCGTTGACCGCATACTATCCGTCCGCACTGCCCATTCTTCCAATTGTTTCGCCTGTCGTCCTGCTGCACCATTCTGTTTGTTCCACATAGTTTCCATGCAGGTGTAGCAACTTCATCTGACCTTGACGCAAGGGCTCACCTTAGTTTGCCTTGCCGGTACCTAGTTGCAGGCTGACACGCCAGCCCGTACCCTCTCTCCCGCCTTGTACCTGCTTAAGGGTCGACCGGTTCACCGTACAGGGCCCCACCAGAGACGGACGACCACCTCACCACCCACTTCGTTGACCTCCCCCCCCCCCCCCGGTCACCTCAGGCCCCCAAATCCCAGCTCGGTCCAGGTTCAGGCCCCAGCAGGCCCCAAGCAGCGGCAAAGACAGCGAAAGAACGCTTGAGAGTAAGAGAAAGGACCACAGTGAAGGCTCAGGACTGAAGAGAGAGTAAAGGAACACCAAGTGGGAAGAGAAAGGCCCCACACACGCTTGACACGGCGACCGCTCCGGCCCTTGGTCAAGTCGGTCCCCTCTGCATTTTCTAGTCCTAATCCTGCCCTGTCCCGTCCTGGTCGGGTTCCCCGTCCTCTTTTTTTCCTTTTTTTCCTTCCTCGCCAATCCAATCCCTCGACCACTGTCAGCCAGCCAATCCACCACCACCACCACCACACTCGACCCGTTCTCCATTCCCGGACGGATACCGTCCGTACCTTCCCTTACCTTCACCATCCGCCCATCTCTGTCTCTCTCCTCTCTCTCTCTTTCTCTCTCTCTCCTGCTGTTCCTGTTCCTGCCTCCTGCCCTGCCCTGTCCACCCGGCTACTGGGTTTTCTGCACAAGGGCCTCCCCCAGCAGGTACTTCAATTCGCACCATCGAACCGTACCATCGGCATGTACCTGCGCCCTCTCTAATAATTCAACACCCCCCGGCCGACCATCATTTCCTTTCGACCCTGCTGTTTTACTGGTCCGCGCAAAGCAACCCCCCTGGAGCTTGCATTCCCCTTCCATCTGGAACTGGACAACCACCACACACCTCTCTTTCCTCCCTCTCCACCGACTCCCGCTCAATTTCAATTCTAACCCTCAACCCTCGTCCAACGACCGACGACCACCACCTCCTCCTCCCGAACCGACCTCCTCGCCTACCACCAACCGCCATCACCATCTACCGCCTCGACATCAGCAGCCACCCTTCTCTCTCCGCCATCCCATTCGTCGAGGTCATCAGTCCACGACGATGAATTCTCAAGGCCCCAACGATGTGTCGCCCGAGGCGATGCAGGCGCGCATTCAACAGGCGCGACGCGAGGCTGAGACACTCAAGGACAGGATCAAGCGGAAGAAGGATGAGCTCGCCGACACCACTCGTGAGTCCTCCCATCATCATCATCTATCCCTTCGCCATTGCCGCCATCTCAATTGCTGCCTCTGAGTCGTGATGCTGACAACCAATCCTCGCCCACAGTCCGCACCGTCGCTCAGCAGGCCCACGAGCCGATCCCCAAGAACCAGCTGATGAAGGCCAAGCGCACTCTCAAGGGACATCTGGCCAAGATCTACGCCATGCATTGGTCCACCGACAGAAGACATCTCGTCTCCGCATCGCAAGATGGAAAGCTCATCATTTGGGATGCCTACACCACGAACAAGGTCCACGCGATTCCCCTACGCTCATCGTGGGTCATGACCTGCGCCTATGCTCCCAGCGGTAACTATGTCGCCTGTGGCGGTCTAGACAATATTTGCTCCATTTACAACCTCAACCAGCAGAGGGAGGGCCCGACCCGCGTTGCGAGGGAACTTTCTGGTCATGCTGGCTACCTATCGTGCTGTCGCTTTATCAACGACCGGAGTATCCTCACATCGTCAGGTGACATGACTTGTATGAAGTGGGATATCGAGACGGGTCAAAAGGTCACCGAGTTTGCCGACCACCTGGGCGACGTGATGAGCATCAGCCTCAACCCGACCAACTCCAACACATTCATTTCTGGTGCCTGTGACGCTTTCGCCAAGCTGTGGGATATTCGAGCTGGCAAGGCCGTCCAGACGTTTGCCGGTCACGAGTCCGACATCAATGCCATTCAGTTCTTCCCCGACGGCCACTCGTTCGTCACGGGCTCCGATGACGCAACCTGCCGGCTCTTCGACATTCGTGCCGATCGCGAATTGAACCTCTACGGCGTAAGTTGGAATGGCACGAGCTCCGCGGGAGACAATCGAGGGTTGCTAACCTTTTTGGTCGCAGTCGGAATCTATCCTTTGCGGTATTACCTCCGTGGCTACCTCTGTCTCAGGACGGTTATTGTTCGCTGGCTACGACGATTTTGAGTGCAAGGTATGCTTTTACTTCCTGACAAGCTGTGGGGTGCTGGGCCGATGACTGATCCGTCGCTAGGTTTGGGATGTGACGCGTGGAGAGAAGGTTGGCTCCCTTGTCGGCCACGAGAACAGGGTCAGCTGTTTGGGCGTTAGCAACGACGGGATCAGCTTGTGCACAGGTTCATGGGACTCACTCGTACGTTCACCCTTTTCATCCTCTGCCCTCCGGGTGCGGTACTGACTCTGCTGTTCCAGCTGAAAATCTGGGCATACTAAATTACCAAACCGACAAAAACAACGTCGAAGTCCTGTCTGGATATACCGGTTCCAGTACGCGCGAAACCATTTTAATCTTCTGTCGACTGGTTATCTGGCCAACTTAATTTTCGAAACCCTGATGCTGCCCTTTTCTAATCCGCGAGTACTGGCGCATTCAGGACGAAGTCACGACACACCTGCTCATACCAAAGCTCACTTTTCACCGTCTACCAATCCAGCTGGGGCCGCCCTTTTACCGGCATGGGTGGCTTTAGGCATTATACAGGGTCTCTTTTGCCATGCCAGCCATCACCCTCATCGTCCACGATTCTTTTGCACCATAGGCCTTTTCTTTCTTTTTTTCTGAGACTCGTTCTAGCACCTGATTGTTAGATCGGGCGGTCTGTAACACATTGATGGGTTTTCCTACATGTGGCCTTTCCCGAGTCATGCCTGCTTCACATCTCCCGCAACGTCTGCTACCGGATCCGGATACAACCAGGACCGCCAAGGAGGGAATGGAATCGAGGCATATTGATACCCCACCGAAATCCAACCCTACACGCATAGACAAGCAAGCACACGATTCCGACACCGACACCATTTCACGCGAACGGCTCAAGGAGGGAAAGGGCTGCACTATGCAGCAGGAGTTTGTTTGGTATACCATCGAAGAGAGTTTTGTTTTCGTCCGATAATTCCCTCGTCGCCATTTTCGTTCACCCAAAAACACGCGCCGCATATTTCGGTTCCGCATTTTCTTAATTCCTCGACCCAGCCGTTGGGGTGCTGGTTATGGTAGACGAAAATGCCGTATACCCCGCCCCTGTCGCTCAAGGCGACGTGAAGCCCAAGTACAGTGGAGGCAAACTCGGTTTGCCTAGTAGAGAGGGGGGAAAGAACCAGGCTAGTGGGGAAGGCGGTTGGTTTGTTTTCCGCGGCGAGTTGTCTTTTTCATATCCAAGTGGAATGGAGTCGGTAATGCGCGGCTAAGGATATGAGAATACCTTCGTTTCCTGGGGGAGCGTAGACGTATCGTATCGGTCTCGGATGATGAACTGGAGTGGCTTTGCACAGGAAAAAGGGGATACGACGACCAAGGCCGCTGAAGGAACGAAGGCATGCGTAGAATGGTGGGTGGAGGTGATGAAGATGTTTTTTTTTTTCTTTTCTTTGCGTGGACGCCCGCCTCAAGCCTTCCTTCCCTCTTATACCTACTTGTTGTCTGTACTATAGTTCGCGCTCAATGCTCGTTCATCCTCTGTTCAAATCCTCCTGCCCCAGAAGCCATGTGAATTGACATCATTATGCCAGCAGCTAATCCGGATCCTCGAGTATGCTACAATGTGCGGGCATAGATTGACAACGGCAATCCAGGGAACCGGTCGGGAATAGGAAGCCCCGAAGCAGATGGACGCAGGACACGGAAATGGTCCACCGAAAGAAACAGTCTAGCAAAGGACCCCTCGGCGGTACTGGGAGAGGACGCTGCGGGCCTTTCGTCCGGGAGAGTACCCCGAGACACTTGCGAGCTGAAGATAGCAGGGAGTGCAAGATGATGGCAGTAACGACGGTCTGGGAGCCGTAGCCTCCGCCACAGTTGACTTCTCAGCCGGAGTCCCGGCTTGTCCCCCTCACTTCTGATGCCGGACGGCGGAGAACTCGTACCGGTTGGAGTGGGTGGGGGGTCACTTGCGACAAAGCCGACTTCTCTTGCGTCCGGTAGACACATCGTTACCGGATCTCGGTCAGGGGAGTGGACGGAACGAGCAGGTAGCATTCGAGTGACAGGGGGCTGAGGAGAGGAAGTGAAGCGACGAGTGGGAGTTGCTACGTCTGTGACACTTGTAGCCGCGGACCTGCTTTCTTCTTCTTGGAGGAGCACTCCGGGAAACGGTCGCCGGGTACAAGATTGTGTGAGCAGGCGTGCGGTTGAGCCTCATCGACGGCATCGCCGGCACTATCACGGTCGGAATCTCGCATGGGTGCCGGATCGACGCGAGGCGACGCTTGAAGCAGGGGACGCCTACGTCAGACCAGCCCAGAAGGACAAGGAGGCGGGGGTGCGGCACGACGACGGCGAGAGAGGAATGTTTCTGGTTGTGAAGATGGAGGGCGGACGGGTCATGACCTGGGGTTCGTCTATTCCGTGTTGTCTTCTTACATGCCACGTGACAGGGCAGACCGCTCTGGATTCTCCGCTTTGCCATTGTCTTTCGTGTCGGGGTATCGGTCGCGGTAACTGCGACTGGCCCGTCCCGGCTTTTTTGGAAGATGATGCGAGAGACCTGTTCCCGAGGCCGGGTTTCCCGAGCTGGGTGTGGAAAGGCGGCCGTGGGGATGTCAGATCTGCAATGGTCCACAGACAATGTTGGCCGTCACAGCTCACGGCCGTTACTTGCCTATGTTGCAGGTGGCGTTGCCTCGAGACTTCTCGAAGCCTGCGATGGGTTTTCGGGAGAAGGATCATCTGGGCAGCACAGACCACGCTTGCCGAAGCGTTCGAAGCAGCCTAGAAGAGGTGCGGCAGTGGGACTGACGATGGATCGAAGGAATCAGCCCTAATATTGCATGCTGTTTGACTTGGCTTCGACATGTGGCTCGGAGCTACTAAACAAGGCGTTTGGAGAGAGAGAGAGAGAGAGAGAGAGAGAGAGAGATAGGGGGTGAAGGGGGATTCTGTGTGGCTGAAGTATGGTCGGATAACTTGCTGCGATTGCCAACCCTGTGTTCCCGGCAGCCACGAGGCCTCGGTGGATGGGGAAGATGGCCGGGACGCTGCAGAGAGCGGCTGTCAACCCGTATCGGGATCTTGCATACGTAGTAGATTTCGCCAGTGTGGTAGGCCTTTCTTGGATCCGGTTGAGCAAATGCTGCATGATAGCCGTGGAGACAAACGTGTCTGACAGAACTTTGTGACGGCGCTGGTGAGATCTGATACACGCAACACGGTTGGACGGCACCTGGTCGAGCCACCCGCATAGTGTCTACATCGTGCTGAGGTGCGACGTCCAGACTTGCTCAAGAACGGCGAGGCGAGGAACGCACAGAATGCGTGAAAAGTTGTGCAGCCAGCGTGCCGGTCCTCGAGATGATCAACCATTAGGCTGATGGAGTGTGGTGGCAGATAACTTGGCCTCGACCGCGAGTACCGAGGACGGTAACAAACCCGACGAAGCTTCCTGAGATGGGAAGACTCCAACAAGCAGTAGTCGAGTCAAGGATTCCCCATGGCATGAGAATTGTGGTGACTTTGACTCCCCTTGCTCGGAAATGGAAACCTCGTTTCTCTGTCGTCATGTGAGCCTGTTGTGTGAAACAAACAAAACCATGAAACGTAGGATTCGTTACTACTGTACTTATGCATTGATCTGATCGCCACATATGGATTTCTGACCACATCGGGATGACGATTCTCCTGATCAATGTCTGTTTTAACGATGTTCGTTGTGCTGGTCGCTGCCGTGGGTGTTTTGTACCATGAAACTTTGACGTTTTGACAAGAGTTGTGGCGAACGAGTTGTGATTCATGGAGGTTGATTTGTGGTTGACGAGTTGGCCTTGATCGAAAGGCTGAGGTGACCTAGGTCGTTCGCGGCACATATCTGGGCCTCTTCTGCAGACAGTAGCATGTCATAAAATGTCGCATCCTAAGATGGAAAAGGCGGTTCATGTTTGACTGACATTGCGAGGCTCTCTTTAGGTAAGTACCACAGGGCCAAGATACCGTAGGGTGAACCGATTATGCATGGATGGTGGCCAAGATTACGAGTTGTGCCGTTGGAGAATCTGTGACCGGTTGAGAATGTCCACTTGAACGAGAGTCGGAAAATACCTATCCCAGGCGAAGCAAAATTATTCTTGCCGTCGATTTGAAGATGCAAGACCGAACTGTCCTCCAACGGCATCGCCGTTGGAACCATGAGTGAACCTTTGGAACCACGGCCGAAGTCGTCGGTGCTGCGAACCGTGATTGAATCAGCCCAAAACAATGACAAAGGCAATTAATCCGAAGTTGCCTCGTGGACATCCACACCCCAGATGTGTAGTGGGCCAACAACACCCTCTTGTCCCGGCCTTCCGTCCGCATTGACGGAGCACCGACGAAGGCGGTCACACGACGCAGTGGCCACGCTCTCTGAAATCTAGCCAGCGAGAGGGTTGACAACCAGCAGCTTTCGGACGATCAAACGGGGCTAATTATGGCGATAAGCACATGTCACTGTTAGAGATATCTGGAGCTGATGATGAGACCAATGTCCCATGTTTCGGAACCCTGGGGTTCGGTGAACGGGATGTTGGATCTTCGATGATGGCAACGTGCCTTGCCATGAGGGGGGACCGTGCTTCGATATTATAGCTCGAGGCATCTTCCCCGTCATGACAAGGCCCGCCGGCTCGGATAGAACGTGGTTTGGTCTGCCACCATGGAGAACGATAGCGATGCAGGCTCGCGGCAAGTTTCCACGACATGGACGATCGGAAGCACGGTTCCTGTGAAGAGGGCTCAATTGGCCCAACCTCGCGTGCATCCTGTCGGAGGTTCATTGACGATGATGCATCACAAGTTGGATGCTAGTAGTGCAATCAACCTGGGGGACACGGATGCCTTGGGCGTACCGGGATTCGAAATTTTGTGTGTTGCGTGAGTTTGCTTCTAATCCTGAACTGCCAATGTCTCGACTTGCAGCAGCTCCGTGCAGCCGGCGTCGACTGTGCATTGGCTGCAGGGAGCAAGTTGAATTGTTGTTCGTAATCTGTGAGGGAAAAGCATGCGAATGCGTTTCTGGATTGACGGCGCATCTCGCCAGTGTCATGGTTGCGTACATGACAGACGGTTGTATGCGCATTCAGACAGAGCTAGCAAAGCAGGGAACGTCGTTGCTGGACTCACCCGATCTATCCTTCTTCGTGGTTACTCGAAATAGGCCCCTTTTGGCCATGCAGGGCCCTCCCGCACTGGCCTGACAGGGCGACGAGTCATCCTAGCCAAACTAGGCCAAATGGCCTGAGGCAGGAGGAGTTTGGAAAAGAAAAGAAGAAGGAAAAAAAAGCGTGCGCGAATGTTGCGGAAAACCGCACTACTTTCAAGTAAAGCAAGGAAAAGGAGACAGACACGCGGGAGAGCTTGCATTAGCAAGGTTATTTACCTGCACCGAACTGATATGATGCAAGCTCAAGGGCAGAGAGGTTGAGAGAACTGCTGGTATAGACTAGACTGTCACAACATGTCGCAACTCAAAGCAGAGGTGTAGACGAAAGTCAATTCAAGGGTTTCCATCTTTCTGGTTGGTCTCAATGCATATGGAGATCAGACTTGGTACAGGCCAATGGCACACAGACACAGACGCGCGAGGAGGCCGATGATGTTTGTTCGCAACTCTCCGCATCGTGCCTACCTGTAGAGTACCTAGCTTCGACATTGCTCCTCATGACCGAGCCTCAGTATCCGAGAGTTGGCCACCCGCATGGTATGTCTCCAACGGGGAAAGGAGACCAAGAAGAATGGAGCAAAGCGCGGCTTAGCCAACTCATCTACCTGCAGCATGCATCCCACCTGCAAGGTCCCGAAATGCCCCTCCTCGTATTTCGGCGCATTAATTGGGCATAAGCGGGCAGCAACCGAATGCCGGAGGAGGGAGAAAAAGAAGCAGGGAACCTCGGGAGAGACGGGTCGTACGGCTCCTGATCAACAGCAACAGCAGCAGCAACAACCATAACCACAGCACATGACAAGCACCGAGATCCTGGCCGCTGGCCGGGCCACGCGAGCGAAAGTAACCGAAAGGATGTCATGTGAGCGAGCAGTCTCTGTCTGTTCTACTATTTGACTTCGCTAAACAAGGGCCTCATCTGCCTTATCTTCACCTCAGACTAAGGTGCATACATTATGCTTGGAACCGGGAAAAGAAAGCTCTGCTGCTGCGGGCGGGTGCAGGAAGGTTCGCTGCAAGAAAAGGAAGGCAATATTCTGCATTCGTATTGGTACCGCACACTAACTACTCTCTGTGGCAACACCCATACAGTTTGGGACTGACTTGGGGTAATTTGCCCATCTTTCGTCCATTGCGGCCGCGAACAAGGCCCAGGGCAAGCAACCCGAAGTTGCAAGAAAACCACCGGTCATGGCCGTCCATCCCCCCCCTGACCCAGACATCGTGGCCCATTTTTCCTTCTTCTTTAGGTTCCCCCTGTCCACCGTTTCCACTTTGATAATCATCAGGTTTCCTCATGCGTGACGACACAACTCGTGGCTGGCCTGTCTGCACGTCCACTTCGGCATTCGTGCCTTGATGGGTGACTCTTCATCCATCCATTCCATCCACGGTGGGTGGGCATGGCAAAATTGGGTAGTCCAAGACAAGACAAGCAAAACAAGTAGGGCTGGCATGGAGAAGAGTCCGGTGTCGCCGCCGCGTCGCAGCTGCCAATTCGATGCGCCCGCAACCAACAATCAACCCCCCTTCCAACATCCATCCTCGTCTTAACATGTCGGACTACATGCCTCTTTCCCGCAACCACATTTAGATCTCGCCCATCACCACTCCCCCCCCCCCCCCCCCCCCCCCCCCCCCCCCCCCCTCCTTTCCTTCGATTCATCCACACTCGCCCGTCCAGTCCTCCTCCACGTTGTTGCTGTTGTTGTTGTTGTTGTTGTTGTTGTCCCCTGAGCCTGTTCGCGGCCGCCCACCTCCACTGCTTCTGAAACAGCCTGACGCACCCCAGGGGCTTCGCCCTCGACCCTCGATCCTCGACACTCGGGCCCCCCTCTTTGCCCACCTCTCGAACCATTCCCGCATCGCGCCAGTCTGTTCTGCTTATTCGCACAGCTGGAGCCGACCCTCACCGTATCGTGTCTACACTAGAGCCAAGGGTTGACCCCTGGCCACGTCTCCACTGCTTCGAGAAATTCCATCGAAGGACCGTCGTTTTTCGGATCAACCTCCCACATACACACAGGGCCACGTCCTCCTCCCCGGCTTCGCCTCCAAACCTGCCCTTCTCCCTTCCAAAAAACCTCCTACCGTCACTTGGACCTCACCTGTCCTTGCTCTGGCTGGCTTGCCCTCTTACTCTAGACGCTCTCCCAGAACAACCGGGCACACCCTTCCACCCTTTCCAAGGCCGCACGATTGGCATTTCGCAACCTGCTTGTTTACTCCTGGACAACACCCCTACCGCCTCTCTCTGACCACACAACTGGCCGCACGTCCGTCCGTCCATTGTCCCATACATAAAACCAGGCCGCCTCCCACGCTCGCGCCCACTCCCGATTCACGATGTCGAACCCTACCCCAGCCCAGGAAGAATTCAACGCGCTGCTAGCAGCAAACTCTCGTGACGAGAGCAGAGTACACCCCGAGGATCGTGACCACGCCCGCCACGAGCAACAAAGCCTCGACCTTGACGAAGACGAGATCCATCGCAACTCCCAGATTGACGCCGCCATGCGCATGCCAACTCTGGGCCAGACCGGCTCCGATCTGAAGCTGCCCCCGGCCAGCTTCGATGCCGGCCGTACGACTGGCGTGAAGGGCGTCATTGCCGATGCCCGCAACTACGAGAACGCCCGCAAGACCTCCTTCATGAGCCGCGCGCGCACGACGGTGCGGCGCTCCATCTTCGGCTTGGACGACCTCAACTCTCAGTCCCACCCATCACAGAAGAGCGGCAGCGAGACGGACGAGGCCAACGGCAGCGACTCGGACGACAGCTTCATGCAGCAATGGCGCGAGAGCCGCCGGAGAGAGCTCGAGAGCGAGTCCACCAAGGTCATCAGGAACCGGAGAACAAGTCCTAGCGTGCGAATCTACGGCCGTATGGATGAGGTGGACGCCTTGGGCTACCTTGACGCCATTGAGAAGGTTGCGCGGGACACTGTCGTTGTCGTTTTTGTCTATGACCCGGAGGTAAACATCCCACCACCACCACCACCACCGCCACCATCACCACCAATGATTGTAGAGGAGCCATTGCTGACAATAGACTTGCAGTGCGACGTATCTGCGACGATAGAACAGGCCATGATGGCCCTAGTGTCGCAGCACTCAACGATACATTTCGTCAAGGTTCACTACCTTGATATCGAATTCGATAACGCTGCTGTGCCCGCAATCTTGGCATACCGCAACCAGGGTGACATGATCGCCAACCTGACTGGCATTATCGAAATGATCCCTGACGATGAGATTTTTGGCACCGACACGCTGGCACGCCTTTTCCAGAAGCACGACATCCTATGAGACACAGACAAGAACGAAAAGAAAGAAAAAAACCCACATTCCCATCCCTTCTGTTACGATACCCCCCATTTGCAGCGCGTCAGGCATCGCGGGCATGACGAACCCCTACCCCTTTTTTCTTCCATTTTCATTACTTTTTGGGTGAACTCTGAATCATCGCTCGGTTTTCGGGGTGGAACGGAGTTTCTCTGGGATATCCTCGTCGTCTTCGCGACAGACGGGTTATACACCTTGATATCATTGGTTACGAGAAGAGATTCATGTCTTGTATGTCGGTTCATCACGCAGGAGAGACGTCTTGGCATGTGATAATATTCGGGGTCTGAGAAATCAAAATGTAACATTACGTGGCACCGGCATCAGAGGACTGTATGTTTGCGTTACGATTTGGGTAATGCTCTGTAAAGTATCAATGCTTTTTCTGCGTATCCATTCCCGGTTTCATATCGTGCGTCGACTCTACTGTGCAGCCAGTGAACACATCTAGAAGCCGTTTGTGATATCCAAAATTTCATTGTTAACGGGAGGAGAAGACTACCACGTCGCGTACCGTGGCAAGGACAAGGACAGGGAGCCCGGTAGTTTCCGCAAACACTGGCGCGGTTTTTGCTCGTCGACATGACTGCCGGCAGTTGGGAGGCGCGAGAAACAGGTAGGTTGGGGGTTAAGACTGGAACTAGCTATCCGTGGTCTGGCGCCTATGATCTCCAGAGCCAGGGGGGGGGGGGAGCGGTCGGAGAGCAACCAGGCATCAGGTCTTTGACTGCATCTCACCCATCTCATCCGGTTTCAAGAATGACTAAATTAGAGCGCGAACATGGGCGATGTGAATCTCGGTTGCGGGGTCCGGCCGGGGGTTCAAGGGGGAGCAAAGAGAGGGCGGCACCAGCCCGGGGCTTGCGTTGATGTCGATCCCGTTTGCTTCAGCCCTTTGCGTCTCGGATCTTGGGTTCCAGGCATCCCGGGATCTTCCCGTACTTCATCACGTATGACTGGGGGGAGGCCGGAGAATCCCCTCGTATCCCCCCGGTTGAACGGAATGTTTCTCTGGGTCAGCGCCGGCAACAACACAAAAGACCGCGTTTGCTGCATTCGATGCCTCCGTGCCGGGCGGCGCCAGGAAAACGAGGCGTATCCCGCGGTCGTTGGTCCCTGCCGTCAGGTGTGCTAGTGATTGCTTGTCGGTCGGGATTGGTTCGAGAGCGGCATCCCACCCGGCTACGTCTACGACGTGACATCTAGTGCACATGCCGACTCGCGACTTGAACCTGGTAGCATTGCAAAGGTCGCAATGACACGACGACGTAGTTTCCAAAAAGGACTCACAGGTAGGATGGGAGCGAACACGCCCTCAACACAGCGTGGGGTGTCGGATCGGAGAGGCTGTTCAAGAGACATGAATGATGGTGGCAGGGTCCCTGGAAGGGGTCGTTGAGATCTTCTCAGGAGTTTGTGCGCGCTGCCACCTGGATGGGACGAACGGTACAATCTCAACAGGAGAGGCGAGCCGTCAACAATACGTGGCCTTGTAACCCTTTTTCTAGATCGCGTCGATCTTGGGACAAGGGCCCTAGGGAGTGCAGAGGTGTACACGATGTACCGGTAGATTTTCGCAGCCTCGTTGGAGTTGCAGTACATGGCAGCGTTGAACTGAATTGCGAGCCGTCGGTGGTCCAGCTGACTTACCGTCTTGTAGTTCTTCCATTCTCTCAAATCCCCGGAGTCATGAACATAAAAGGAATTGAGGTATGCGCCGCAGAATATTCCATATTTTCTCCCTCCGATTAGCGATGCCAAGGCCGCCTTCGCCTTGTGAGTTATACACAAGAGTATGTGACGTAGGACTGAATAACAGCCAGTGTTAATTCGAGCAAGCGAATAGACAAATTCGACCTGGAGAAGGTTGAGAATAGGAAAAACAAGCCCTGGGGGCGGCTTTGACTCACAGCTTTGTGCAGATGGCGAGCGAACGCTGCAAGAAGGTTGATTCGGCGCTTGACGCTTTTTGACGGATTACTTTGAGACTGGCCGTGGATAGATATCCTGTCAGCCTCGATGGCACCATGTCAGTGATGCGAGCCAGCTGCCGCCAAGTAGCCACGAAAAACGTCCTCGGCGATTCTCGGTGAAGTTCGGTGTGGGACGGAGGATGGGCCGTATTGGGTTGGGGGTAAATCTGTTTCCCCACTTGTGATGCACGGCCACAACTCAAATGTGGCAGAGTGAATTAGGGAGCACCTTGCTAGCCGCGCATACTGTGTCCCTCAAAGAACAGTACCACACACCCTCTTCCTCAGGCTCAGACATGCGCAACACCCCAGCTGCCAGCTGGCCACGATATGTGCCTTGATAAGAGACAGAAGGACGGCACGATTTGAAACAGTCGAGACATTTGGGACTGGCACACCCCAAATCCAAGATGGGGGTCCCTTCCTTGGGCCCTCCAGTTCAGTCGCGTATTGTTACGATTGCAGCGAGGCAGCGAGGCGTCGTCGTGGTCCCGTTTGGCCTCCCCCCGTGCCTTGGGCTTTGCCCTGCACATTGGATGACCCGAACTTTAGGTTGGTACCTTGCTTCAGCCTGGAAGGGGATGACTCGGAGCCTCTGAGCTCGATACGGCGACTCCACGACATATTGATATTGGCACGATGAGCTATGAAGCGCAATGCCGTGTTGTGTTTTTTTGGACGATTTCACCCATGGGCCAGCGGGGCAGCCAGTGAACACAGCACAGAGCGAGGGAATGAGCTTTGAGGGACAGTCACCAAACCGGGGGGCCGAGGGGTGATGTCGGGAGATGGGCGGATCCGTCTCCGTCACGATGCCATTTGCCTTTCCATTCGGCTAGCCTAGTGCTGGTGCCAACAGCAGTCCCAGGCGGGGTGATGGTGGACTTTACCCCACCTCACCATGTTCACCTCACACTGCCAGGTCGCAGCGGCGCATCTGCGCGCTGATTTCCCCTCCCAAAACCCCTCTGTCGGTTATCGATAAGAGGGCGGGTGCAAGTAACGATGCGGATCTGGTGTAATTAATGGGGACCCGTTCACCCCAGTGACATTCCATTTGCATTTGCATTTCACTCGAACGCGAGCCTTTCCCGAGTGACGCAATCTGGACAGCTTTACGAGTGCACGACGTGTTCCTCAGTGTTGAAATGGGTGCCGTCGTTTGCGCCTTCATTTCATCCTAAACCGACCCCGCCCCCACCTCCCAAACCACATGGCAGGCACCTGGCCAAAATGGTGACAAGTGCACGCTTGCTTACCAGCTGCTGGCTGCTTTCCTGCCCCTTCCTTTTCAATGTAAGGTAGGTAGGTATATGGTGTCGACACCTGCCCCCTCCGCGGAGGAGGTACCTTTCCAGACTGCCTTGCCTGCCTGCCTGTCTCGTCTTCGCCTTTCTGGTTGCCTGCCTAAGTATGTGTCTGTCTCCCCTGATGGTGCGCCAGTATGTCTCTCTCCGCACACCGGCCATCCGCGCCATCCATCTATTGAAATACAATCCGTCATAATCATCCACCACCTCCTTTCTTCTTCCTCGGCTTTACTCATCTATTACTACCTGTCATCATCCAACAAGCCAGGACTCGAATAGGGGGCTTCCTATACGGATAGCAAATCTACACCGTCAATAGACAAGACCCCGGCACGCCCAACACAGCGCGCTTGGACGGCTAGGACCAGACTTGTGAGCAACGCCAACGGGTTAGTATAGTGTACCTTGCCTCTTATCTCTGCCGCGACTTCCTGATAGCGGCATCCGCGTGACGTGCCAAAGTCGCAGTCACCTCACTTCACCTCCGATAAACCGACCGCCATCTCATCCCATCTCGTCCTATCCTTCCCCTTCCTTGCCCTTCCCTTTCCCTTGAACGTTTCCCCACCCCGCGCCTCTGGATCCCTTGAGGCAGCACGCTCAGCAACAACGGCGAGGCGCCAGCACCGCACAGCACGTTCCTCTTCGGTTTCTCAGTAAGGTGGGCAAGCAGACGCAGGCAGCACGCACCTGCCACCGAACCCCCGACCGTAGGCAAATAGCCTTTGACGACGTCCCGTCACCAACCCATCCACCGCACCTTCCTCGATCCTCCAGGTCACATCTTCCCAAGGCTCAGCCAGAGTTAGTTGATCTTTATTTTCCCTCTTCATCCGCAAACCGTCTTCTCGCCTCTGCTACGACTTGGAGATATTCAACTTTTTCGACACAGGTCGCTTGTCTCGAGGAAACGCAGTTCTTCCAACGTCCCCCCCCACCCACGTCTGCTGTCAGCTCGTGACTTGTTCCATATCCCGCTTTACCCCTCCATTCACCACCACCACCACCACCACCACCACCTTCTTCCACCACTCCTACAACGCACCGCCGCCGACATCCGGTCCCCTCTCATTTCTTCCAGCTTCCCGACTCCTCGAGGTATGACGGGATAACATCGAAGGCTAACCCTTGATATCTCGGCATGGAAGAGCAGTATAACGGCGATCCCACCCGAGACGTCGAAACAACCACAGATCCCTCCAGCTCCACGACCCTTTCGTCCTCAGAGCTGACTTTGAGATTTCCCCGCCCCCAAGGCAACCGTCAACTTGCTAGCTGGATCTCCTCCAGTGAACCAGACATCATGAATCCTACAGAGACGCCCGATGACGACTCGGCGTTAGGCGAGTCCACCTACGAGCTCATCAATACAGATGACGAGAGCCAGGATGGTCGAGCCACCGAGGCCGAGTCCACGAGCTCCTTCGACTACACTCGGATCGATGACGTCCACAGCCTTGCCGGTACCGAGCATACAGAAGATATGACCAACCACTCCGATACCGACTCGGACGAGGAAGACGAGGAGAATGCCGCCGAAGACCGGTCTCGAGCGTCATCTATCCAATACGCCGAGCAGAGCCTTCTCAACCCGTCATCGCGTGTTGCTACACCCCCCTTGGCGCTGAGAGATCCGTCGATACCTCCAACCAGCCCACTCCGTTGGTCCAGTCGATCGAGTTCGACGAGACGCAGGGCCCGCTCCACCTCAAGCAGGTAGCAGTCAAGCATACCATCCATAGTTTCACAGAGGAGAAGTCTGGCTCTATTGCCAAGGCTCTCAGGTTCCCGGACAAGAGCAAGCGTCTCTTTGCAGCGGTTCGCCAAACCATGGCATCTGATTTCTTGGCCACCAGGGAGCCGCTTCGCATCATGTACACTGGCAGCCACGGCGCCAAACACGACATCATCTACAAGATCTCGTCAGCCTTTACTGCGTCAGCCTCCGCGGATGAGTGCGGCATCACCGAGGACGATGGTATCTACAATGTCGTGCCCATCTCATCCCGCGGCTCCGCCAAGGTTCCCGAGGTGGAGCTGATGAAGACTTCACAGTACCAGATCAAGGTCGAGAACTGCACGGCGGCCAGGGAGATCATCTACCAAGGAGAGCGATTCCCCGGCGAAACTGTCTACTCAATCACCATCGACGGTGATCGAACTTTCCAGTCGGCGTTTGCTCCCAGCGGCTCCATTGTTGAGCCAGCTTGGACCTTGCCGCATGTGGCCATCTTCTACGTTACTGAGAACGACGACGAGGCCGCCCAAAAGACCCGTGTCGCTGCTTGGCAGTTTATGCAGCGTCACGCTGTTCCTTGCATCTTCATCTCAAACGCGGAGACCTTCCACGAGCCCACTGTCAACTGGAACGACATGATCGACCAGCACGCCATTCATCTGTGTGTGGAATCGTCTGATCGTGCCTCGCCTTCTGTCAAATTACCAATCGACCTGACGACTTTCCTGAACATTGATGCCCGTCAGATGAACCGCAACCTAGCATATCTCACCGGCCTCTATGACGCCGCAGGAGAGTCTGCGAAGAGTGGCGATTCCGACATCTATGTCCAGGCGACGAAGATGATGCGGAGCGTTCGTCGGCGCGCCGTCGACGCCACGGGCGATCTCGATCTGTGGAATGTCGCCCAGACTTTGATGCTCAGTCTTGGTGTGATTGCAACTGCACTGCTTTGCAATTACTTTGTGGCAGGCTCACCGGCGCCAGCCCTGTCGACGGTGACCTCGACTACGCCTTCGGCCCAAGTGGCGTCTACGACCTCGGCGTCGGTCTCCACTTCGACCATCACCATCAACCTGACTTCCACGACGACGATTCGCGTACCTCAAGCGAAGACATCCCCAAGCAGCACAGCTGTAGCACCCTTCGCAGAGTTGGCAGATTTTCTCGCCGACAAGTTCCCGGAATCTCAGAAGGGATACGTCTGCTCGGCAGAAAAGTTTGGGCGCAACGAAATCCTCATCAAGATCCCCTCTGGTACGAAGACATCCTGGCTTGCCAAAGACTCGATCACCATCGATGTCCTCAAAGGCGAGAGAGCTGTTAAGACAAAGTTCTCTTCGATCGATGAGGGCATTCTCATCGAGATCCCTAAGTCGGAGGCGTACGGTGTTCTCACCATCGCTGTTAACACGACCCGGAAGCCCAAGGTCAATGAGACGTTCCTTATTGACTTTGGCAAGACCAGCCTTGAACGATGCCTCGGGTACGGCAAACTGGTTGCTGATCATGTAATTGATGTGGCAAGCAGCGCTGCACGGCAAGCAGAGGAGCAAGCCATGGGTCTCGCAGGCTTGAAGGACACCGTCATGGCCGATATCAGGGAGGTATCTGCCCGCTTCACCACCGAGGCCGCTCACACAGCCAACGCCGTAAAGGAGTCATACCAGAACTTGCAGAACCTCCAGGAATCGCGCAAACTGCGGGACCTTAAAGATCAAATGGATATCTTCGTCACCAAGGCTCAAATCAGTTCGAGACTCTTAGTGCTAAAGGTACTACAGAAGACGGAAGAGCACGGTACTTACCTGGACAAGGCGAAGAAGCACATGGAAAAGCTGCGATCGCAGGCGTCCGAGGCCAGCAAGCAGCGACTGGACAAGGAGAGAAAGGAGTTGCGAGCTCGTCGGAAGAGAGAGCGCCTGGAGGCTAGATGCCAAAGTGGCACTGGCTTTTCTCGGTGGACCCAGCAATGCAAGCAGCAAGGCTAGTTTACCGTATGTGCATGAACAGAGATACCTGGGAGGCGGGTTATTAGGGACACGGTACGGACTGGACTGGAGTTATTGGTGTGGGTTTTGTAATGGCCGTCTCAGCTTTTTGCTTCGTACACCTCTTAACTGTTTAGCTATTCATCACTTTCCACCGCGCTTACCCCAATATCATTCTAAGATGCGAGCCGGGCTGGCGAGGGAAGTTGAGCGCTTACGCGGTTCCGAACAGCCTGTCGCTTTTTAGACAGTCGACATGCTTTTCATGGAACAGACTGAATCGATAGAATATGAGCAGGCTTCTGCAATGACCCCCTATGTTTTTGTGATTATCCTACTGGGTACGTGACGTTGCGCCCAAGTCTTGTCGTCCAAACTTTGTCCCAAGTCGATGGTTGAAAAGCTTCAGGGTGATTGGTGAAAATTAACAATAACAAAAGTAAACTCCCCAAAAACACATTATGAAATCACAGCGCTTCTACAGGTTGACTGACTAACAATGCAGCCCGCCTGGGAAAATGTCTTGATGCAACATGCTACTCGAGGACGAGAACCCAGTAAAATTATTCACTCCAATAGTGCGGATAGGGCCGGGCGACGACCAAGATAGCGTTCAGATGCTCGTCTCCAAATCAGGGACTCCCTGGTGGCAAAGACAGAGGGCATAATGATTGGCCGCGTGAGTCCAGCTTGGGCTTTGGCTCAGGTAAATACCCACAGGGTCATCCAGCTGTAGCAAGTACAATGCCATGTGATTTGGGTGGCAGGGTACTTTGCCGGTAGCAGGTTGACAATTGCCTGGGCACCAAACCGCAAGGGCCAGGCCCGCCCGACACCCCTCTTGTTGTTGACTTTTGAGTGAGGGGCTGTCTTTCCTCATTTTGTCCAACCCACTCCCAACTTCACCTTGACTGAGGAAACAAATTCATCTTTTGCTTTCCACTCTTCCAACCCCCCTTCGCGCCCTGCAGAACATACCGCTACTAGCCCTGGTAAGTCTCGTGTCTTTTAGCCTTGCTCCCCTGCAGACCGCTTCCTGCTGGTTTGGATGACGAGCGTCGATGCTGCCGTCCTGGATCGAGGAGGGGCAGATTAGGCGGTAATGCAGAGTGATTCATGGGCTAATGTTTTCTCTTCGTCCCTTGCCCACAGATCCAAACATCGTCACCCTCAATCACCTAAACCACTTCGCAAAGAACCAACAACATGTCTGCCGCCGAAGCTACCGAGCCCAAGGTCGAGGAGACCAAGCCCGCCGAGGTACGACGCCCCCTTTTTTCGCATGCGCCATCAACCGCGCCTCGTCTCGTCTCGACTAGAGCAGCACCTCCCTCGCCGCACATACATGGTGCCATGCGATGCGCATCGCCCCTCCCCTTGCACCATCGACCGGCGATATAAATTTGGATGTCTGGATGACTAACGTGCCCATCCGCAGACCACCGGTGAGGCCGAGAAGCCTGTGACCTCCTCCGCCGTTTTCTCCATGTTCGGAGGTGGTGCCAAGAAGGAGAAGAAGGAAGACGAGGAGCGTGGCGACAACTCTGGCAGCGCCAAGGCCCAGCGCGAAGCTGCCGCCGCCGAGAAGAAGGAGGGCGGCGAGGTACGTCAAACTCCAATATCCAGTCCTGCAGTGGCAGATGCGTGTGCGGACTTGAGATACTAACATGACCTCACAGGCCGACGAAGAAGCCCCCGAGTCCGAGGATGTCCACTTCGAGCCCGTCATCAAGCTGACGGAGAAGGTCGAGGTCCAGACTAACGAGGAGGCTGAGGAGCAGCTCTTCAAGATGCGCGCCAAGCTGTTCAAGTTCGTCAAGGAGACAACTGAGTGGAAGGAGCGTGGCACCGGTGACGTCCGCCTGTTGAAGCACAAGGAGAACGGCAAGACCCGTCTCGTCATGCGCCGTGACAAGACCCTCAAGGTCTGCGCCAACCACTACAGTATGTGCCTCTGAATTCCTGCCATTGCGTCCCGAAACATGCTCACCTTTTTGTAGTCGTTCCCGAGATGAAGCTGTCCCCCAACGTCGGCTCCGACCGCAGCTGGGTGTGGAACGCCGCCGCCGATGTCAGTGAGGGTGAGGCCGAGGCTGTTACCCTGGCCATCCGCTTTGCCAACTCCGAGAGTAAGTTGCTGATTGATGTGAAGCTGCCTTGCTGCCAGGAAGCTGACATAACGTAGACGCCAACCTTTTCAAGGATTCTTTCCTCAAGGCCCAGAAGGACAACGAGGAACTCTTCAAGGCTGCCGAGAGTGCCTCTGCCCCCGCCGACGAGTAAATTTGCCCAAATCTCCCATGTCCGCGAGAAGATGAGGATGGAAGACCCCCATGCGCCGGGCTACCATGAGAAATGCCCCCCCTGCGACAACACCGAAACTAGCACCCATTGTCAAACTTGTTTTTACACCCCCTGATACGAGGCAGGATGGAATCACTTCGGTGAGGAGAAGCTGGAGAGTGCAAAAAGACTTGCACCGAGTGGTGTTTGTTTTCTGGCATTTGATAAAGTGGATGGATAGGCATCAAGGCTTAGGAACAAGACACTCTACACAGCACCAATTAACAAGAATAAAGTCCCTTCCCATTTGATTAGACGCACCCCCGAAAAGGAGACAGACGGGCAGAAGAATCATACCCCTCGGCTCCAGTATCAAGACCGTCACCCCCAGCGTCTTTAGTCGTTGATGTGCGCACCATGGAGCTGTAGTTGCTGGTGCTATTGACATGAATGCAATGCGCCAAAATTTACCTTTAAAGGTGCTTTGTTCTTCTTCTCATTGAATGATTAGAGTGCAGGTCAACCCTGGGCAGGAGGTACTGCCATTCAATTAAAGTCCTTGCTTCCCCGCAACACGCAACACGCTTCACGCCTGCACGCGGTGAGCTTTCCAGCCACCCTGGGCGTAGGTGTGGTCCGAGCGTCGCCCTCAGCCTTCCAGTCCCAAACCTCCAAATCCCAATCTGGTGAACTTCACACATCGTCCCAGCGCACGCCGAAGCCCCCTCCTGAACGCCACGTATTGCTTCGACTACTGTACTACCTTGCAATAGAGGCCCATCATGATTGTTGAGGTAAGAGCCACTGTTCCGCTTTCCCTATGTTGTCACCGCGCTGCGCTGCGTCCCTTTGCGACATCATGAGCGACCCGTCCTGCCCATCCACCACCTTCGCGGTGACAGCTTGCGCTGTCAATCAGATTGGAGACTCCCTCCCGGCAAACCCGCTAGATACCCTCGCGGGATCTGTTTCAATCTAATTCCAACGCGTCTGCCTACCTCGGACCTTCCTGCAACCCATAATTTCTGCCGCAACAGCCCATCGCGACCCTCTTCCTCCATCATCACCAGCGACCATGGCTCGCCGAAAAGCGGTGGCACAGAAGAATCGGAATGCCCCATCATGGGCGACATCGCTTCGATCTAATGCTAACATGGAGCTGAAGCGCAAAGTTAGGCTCGTCACCGAGCAGAATGTCATGTAAGCTGTAGCCCCCCCAAAAGCGCTTCCTCCTCAGAACGGGTTGCTAACCTTGAGCCTTCCTTTCCTTCCAGCGACAAGCCCTCCCCCGTCGAAGACTTCCCCATGAGAAAATGGTCGATCGTAATCTATATTGTTGGCGAGGATGGTGAGGAGCACCCGGCCGATTGCTTCCAGAAGGTTGTCTACAACCTCCACCCATCGTTCGAAAACCCCACGCAAAGTTCGTAGATATCCCTCCCCCGCGGTTGCTCTTTCCCGGTCGCAGCTCGCTAATCGTTTTATTCACCAGCATTCACTAAGCCTCCCTTCCGATGCGAGAACGAGGGATGGGGTGAATTCGACATGACGATCGATTGCTACATCACCGAGAAGTCGAAGCAGTCGCTCAGCCACGATCTGAACTTTGCAAAGAACCGCTACGACGCCGAGCACACCGTCTCGTTCAAAAACCCTTCGCAGGCCTTGCAGCAGATTCTGCGGGAGACTGGTCCTCTTCCGTCCGACGACGACCGTCTCAAGAAGAAGGGCGGTGCCGGCAAGAAGGGTGCCCAGAAGTACGACTACGAGAAGATCGCGCAGGCTCTTGAGAAACTTGACGAGGACGACCTGCTCCGTGTCATCCAAATCATCAATGATAACAAGACTGCGGACACATACATCAAGAGTGATGTCGATGGTGAGCTAACGCCTGCTTCCCCTGGTGTCGATCTTCTGAGCGGTCAGTTTTCCTTGCGTTGGGAGGTGGAAGGGCCGGCTTGGTATCAGCAACAAACGACGTGAGCGAGTCGCGGCTGACACTCATATAGCGGGAGAGTTTTCCATCGACCTGTATACGATGTCGGATCAGATGACCAAGCTCCTGTGGGACTACTTGGTGAGTAAATCTTACATCCGGTTGTGAGCGCCGCGGTAGGGCATTGGCTTGATCTAGCTTCGAGCCTCATGGACTGCACGCGCTCTCGCACGCAAGGCTTCCGGGCGAGGGAGTGAATGAGATTGGACGTGGGTTTGGCCAGGATTCAAAGACCGGCCGCTGACCACGACGCTGTGCCCCTCCACGCAACAGAGCAAGAAGGGCCTCGTCAGCTAGGTTACCCCATCGCTCGCGAAGATGAGCTTCTTCTCCAGTACTATCCCGGAAAACCTTCCCACGCGAACCGAATCGGACAACGATCGGGGGACAGACGAATTCGACAGATGGGTTCTCTCGTGGAAAAAGGGGAAAAAAGGGTTGGTTGTTTGGTGGGCAGTAGGCTTCCTGTTTCGCTTCTCCAATGGCATTTGGCTAGGCGTTCCCGGCTCCTTGCTTTGTTTTCTCATGTTTTGTTCTGGTCTTGTCTCTTTCCATGATTTTGTGTGTGTATGTGTGTGCTTTATCCGCGTATGTCACCAGACAGGAAAAGCACTTGCGGCGGGGTGAAGTCTTGCGTGCATGCGAAGAGGTATCTCGTGTATCCGAGTTTGTTAGTAGCAGGTCAGGGCCAGCAACGAAGCTATGACAAGGGGGGGGGGGGGGGCGGAAGCGGGTTTGAAGGAAGAAGACGGGCTAGTAGATGTTGGGGGGCGGACTGCGAGGGGAGAGGACCTGGAGGCTTCCATCTTCCCGGTTGCCTTTGAGCGACGGGCAGTCCGGCTCCTTGCCCCTCCCCTTCCCCCCCCCGTTGTAATCATATTCCATCTGCACATTCCAAGCCCGCCTAGACTGTGATGCCACGCCCACTCGAGAGCAGGCGGGCCGTGTTTGGCTGGGCGAGTGGCGGGCAAGTCCGTCCTTTCACCACACCACTAGCGCACTTGTAGACACGCATCACGACATTGCGCCACGTGACTGGCAGACGGTCATTTCAGTTCCTATCCGTATATGTGTGTGTGTTGCATTGCCGTGCTCGAGCAACCTCTCGGGTCGGGTTTCGAGTTTCGTTGTTTCTATTGAAATAGAATAAAATAAAAGGGTATCTAAATCATACTCTTGCCCACACCATCCATTATTTAATAAATGTAAACGAACCAACGGCGTAATTGCTCGGCGCTCTTTAAAAAAACCATGCTTGCCAGTCGCCTTTCCCAGGTGTAAGATGTAATCAAAAGTCGCTCGCGTAAGGACAAATGAACTTGCCTCTCCAAGTTCCAGTTTTCGGTGCCTCTACTTTTTTTCTTCTCCGTACCATCTAAACCGCCAGTTTACCCGAATCGGTTGCCTGCCTTTTTTGTGTAAGCCACCTTTGTCTCCTTATTGCAGCGGTCCTCTCCGATTGTGGACTCCCTGTCTGGTTCAGGGGTACGACGTGGGCCCGTCCAAGACGGGGAACCCCGTGTCCATGGCCATGTACTCGAGCAGGTCGAGGCCGCCGACGTTGACGCCCTCGGCGGTCATGGCGACGGCCGTGTTGTCCATGTTCTGGAAGAAGGCCGGGCCGGGCGGCAGGTACCACATCTCGTTGCCCGGGTTGTTCCAGTCCGTTGAGTCAAAGAGGCCATCCATCCCCGTCGTCGAGGATGGGGCGTTGTTGCTGTTGCCGTTGCCACCGGCGCCGCCGTTCTCAGGCGGTGGTGCCGGCGTAGACGGCCCGAGGGCCGAGGCCGTGCCTGAGGGGTAGGGGAAGTTGCCCGTGCTGAGATCGAAGGGCGTTGCGGAGATGTTGGCGGGATCTTCTGATGCATCCATGTCAGTTGTTGTCGCCCATCAACTAGTGAGATGAGACGGAGTGGGGGCTTACCGTGTGCGTTGAGGCCATCCCGTAGCTTCGTGGCGTGGTTGGACCAGTTTTGGCCGTCGCCGCCGTTGGCTTGTTGGCCGTTGGCAGCAGCAGCAGCACCGTTGGCGACGGCATGCGGGTCGGGGCTCCTTCCATCCGCAGAACCGATCTGCCCCAAAGCCGGAGCCTGAATGAACCGGTTGCGAAGCCGACTTGTTAGGGAATCGAGCAGGTCGGCGAATCGAATGCCAAGGTGAACATCGTCGACAATACAGTTGCGGAGGGCCTTAACCGTCTCATCCATCAAGTCAATACTGAGCTTGACGTCCGACCGCGGGGCACCCAGGGCAAAGGTCTTGAGCAGGAACATGGCTCCGCTTATGATGCGGAAGTAGGTCCGCACAGGGGCATGCTTGAGGTAGTCGCCCGGGAGGAGACCCTCCACAACGGTCCGGAGCAGGTTCCGACAGCCACTGATGACCTCCTTGATGTACTCCTGATCGCTTGCGCCGAAGCCACCCAACTGGCCCAAAGGCAATTTGCCAAAGTAATTCTGGGTTTGGGGTGACAGCTGCGCCGCGCTTCCTGCATTGTGATTGCCGTGGGCACCATGACCCGCGTGAGCTGTATGCCCAGCATTGTTGGTACACCGCTCAACGACCGCTTGCAGTGACAACGAGTTGACGTAGATGCGCACGTACTCATACTCAATGGTGAGTATGTGCCTGATGTAAGGTGGCAGCCTGTAAAGCTCAAACTCCTTCCACCAGTCCTGAAGCAACGGCTGGAAATCCTTGAGCATTTCCGTGTACTTGCCACTCTGAATGATGTCGGTAGTATGCTTGCGTGACTTGAACAGTTTCTCGTTTCCAATGTGCATCGCGTTGCTGATTCCAGCCCAACAGTGTATTATTTGATCGTCAAGCTCGAGATCGGGGATATAGTTGAAAGCATTGGACATGGACGAGGGGTTGGTGCCAGGCGTAGTGCCTTCGGTCGATGTCGGTCGGCGACGAGTCACGGCCGGATCACTCTTGCGAAGGGCCTCGGGCACCATGCTAGTCCATCCTAGGCGACCTGCCAGCTGCGTCAGATAGATCAACAGTAGGCGTTTGATGCGATACGCCCGTTGGCGGTACACCTCCTCTTCGTACTCGGGGCGCGAAATGGCGCCGTCGCGCAACAGCTCGTCGATGTCGTCAAACACGCCAAGCTCGTAGGCGAGGCCCATGGCGGTGCTGAGAAGCATCCAGCACATCCTGTCACTTCTCCAGGCGGGCTCGAGCCAGCTGTCGAGTCTCTTGCCGCCGATATTGGCGGACGGCCGTTGGTTGCCGTTCTCATCAGTGCTGACCAGGTCACTGCCCTCGTATGAAGGAAGCATGAGCTCATCGATGGCCTCGGCTGGCGGGAAGTGAAGCGCACGAGGGTGCCACTCCGTGAGGATCATCAAGGACTCGATCGTCCCCAGCGTCCGTAGGCTGCCTTTCCTCATTCCTCGCCAGGGCGCTGTGCTACTGGTTTGATCATCGGGAAGAGATGACGCCCCGGCCATCGCCGCGAATCCACCTCCGAAGGCCTCCTGGCCCCACAGGCATCTCTCAATCATGCCACGGAGGTATGTCCAGAGTTGTTCGTGGATGGCGTGTGATCTGCAGTGGCCACCGGTCCCCGGGATCTTGCGGTATCTCGAGGAAATGGTGAGGAGTGTGATGGTAAGGATGGGCTCTTCCGTGAGGAGGGTGATGTGCGATGCGGGGTTGCGGAAGGTCGGGGGTGAGATTGGGGTGAGCGGTGACAGGTATTCGTAGTAGCTGATGAACGTTAGCACAGCATCAAGTCGCAAAGTGACGGACAGCTTACTAGTCGATGTACTCAATGGCCTCCTGCGCGGAGAACCAGCCAGCTCTGACGAACCTGAACCTCCCCCAGGCCTTGATAGCATCCTGGTAGCCAGGCTCACCAGAGAGATCGCGCTTCGTCAGCTCCGGGTCGATGGGCTGCGGCTCAAGCTTGACAGAGACAGACGGACGGCTACTGGCAACGGGCTTCATGGTTGCCCCAGGTGTCACGATGAGAGGCTGCTGCGGTATGGCGGGTACGGAAGCAATGCTCTCATGGCGCTTGTGGTTGTTCGTCGCAGGACTGTAGGCCGGGGGGTGGTAAGCAGCTGCGTCTTGGTCCTGGCTGAGCTGGACTGACCTATCCGTGGCCGCCTTGTAAAGCAGATCCAACGCATCGTGCGGTCCGTAGACACCGGGCCGCATAAGATCCTGGGCCTCGCGGTTCTCGAGCTGGGCATTGGGCTCGTCGTCCATGACATAGTCGCCGCGCTGGCGACTGTCTGTCTGGCTCGTCGTGCTCGGGGTGCCGCCGATGGAAGTGCCGGGATCGGTCGGGCGCCGCAGAGGTTGGTTCCGGCCGATGGAGCCGCCCGGGGTCAGGGGCACTTCGCTGTATAATCGGCGATCGATGGCGACGGGCGGGCTGCCGCTGACGTGTACGCGCTTACGGCCATTGCGGATGGTGTAGTCGTCGACGTCCTCAACATCGGGGTCCTCGCCGTCCTCGGTCTTGCGCTTCCTTCTAGTGGCGCTGAAGAAGCACTCCTTGCTCTCGCGGCGGCATCGTACGCAGGGCGGGTCGTGGGGGTTATCAACGCTGCCCAGGTCGCAACGGACCTTTCTCCGGCGGCACGGGATGCACGCCTGGTAGACGCGTTTGTGCTGGGACGCACCGGTGGTCCCAGACTGCGCCTGTGCCTGCGCCGAGGCGGCGGCAGCGGTCGATGGGGTGTTGGAGGTCGTCGGGCTCAGGTTGGATGCGGGCGGGACGGCGTATTGGGCCATGATGGGCCGGGCAGTCGTGCTGCAATCGTGGGGTGATGTATGGCACGACTCTGGCTTTCTTTGATGGATAGACTCGGTCAGGTCGGTTTGCAACGGGTTTATGGAGGGGAAAAGACGGGTTTACAGCCACCAGCGGCGGGGCGTGGGTGGTTTTTGTCGGTCCACGTTTGCTGGGCGGGCTTTTGGGGGTGGTCAGTGCTTTTTCTTCTTGTTGGTACAGGCTGCAACGCTGCGGGTTGGTTGCTGGCGAGCTACCACCGCTGTGCACAAACAGCCCATCCACGGGGGTTGGTGAGGTGCGGGGTTGGGGGAGACGTGGATAAGGTAAGCTAGCTCTAGGCAGGTGGGATTGGAATAGGGTACGTACCTTCTCCAAAGTGCCTCGCCAAGGGACTGTGCGTGCGCAGCTCTCGCTCGAGTGAGGGAGGGATGAGAGGTAGACTCGTCCGGAGAGGCAGGTAAAGAGAACCAAAGGTGAAGAGAGGGCAATATGCGGCTATCTTGTCTGGTACCCGCGGAGACGATTCCCAAACCGAGGTCGCATGGGGGGGGGGGTATTCTTGCGGTGCGCTCTGGACTCGGCTCTGCTGGTTCACTCAAGGAAAGAAAAGGTTTCAGGGCCCCAGGTTGACAATCGTTTCTGTTCGCTGGCCGCCCGCTTCGGTCAGACCAAAAGTGCTTGTATCCTAGTCCAAAGCAGGCGCGAAAAAAGAAAGAAAGAAAGAAAATAATGCGTATCAATTGCTTATCGACGAGGGTACGCGTGTAGTCGCCGAGGTCTGATTGGCGCGATTGGAAAGATTGCAGATTGTGGAAGGAGAAGAATGCAGACGAGGAAAGTGTGTAACCACGAAGATGACCCACGGGAAACAGCAGACGGATGAGATTTGCGCAGAGGTCTCCCGTGCATTTGAAATGGAGCGTAGTGAGAAAGTTGTTACACGGGGTTGGTTCATCGACCTTCTCCTCACCTCAATTGGTGAATGAGAAGTGAACACGAGACGGAAGTGTGCATCTAACGTCGGATCGAATAACTAAGCGTTTACCTTAGGTAAAAGAAAGCAGAATGCGCCTTCCTTGCCTTCCCGATCTTGCCTGGTGTCCGCCTCTCTCTCTGTCTCCATTGAATCCAAGCGGGCATAACATGCACCAAAAGTCCGCCGGCGCGCCAGAGAGGCTCCCAGCAGCCCTCGGCGCCTTCGGTGTATGCAGTGGGAGATGGAAGCAAGGTGAGGTCATCTGAAGCCAATGACTGTAGAGTAAGTAGTACAATACGTGTTTGTTTCGTACTTGTAAGCAATGTCAATGGGGAATGAGGCATGGCTTAGATTGTCACACCTCCCCGGCCCACCCCGTGACAGACTGCGACCCAAAGCCAGGCAAGCATCGAATAAAATAAAAACAATTACAAAAAGTCTGGGGAACCCGAACCTGGGGAACCTCATCCACAAGCCCGGACCAACCGGTGTCTTCTCCATCCGCCCTGCAAACCATATATTGTCTGGGTCGTCATCCCAATTGACAACAACACCTGAGGCACCGTGAAAACCAGTCCACGGTGCCTTTTTCGCCTTCCATATATGTCTCACCCCTGCATTGCACCAGTCCGTTGGCAGTCTCGTTCTCTGCACCCACCAAACCTAAGCTCCCTGCGCTGCCACTTGCGACAGAAGCCCGTGGTCACGTTGACACTCGCCGCAGCAGGCTGGGTCACGTTCGCCCATCGGACAAGGCACCCGAGACTTCCTTCTGCCCGTCATATCCGCCATTACAGATCTCCTGGGGTTGTTGGCTCATCCCATTGTATTTTTCCATCGTCCCTTTAGTCTCCCCGAGCAATCTAACAAACTGGAGAGGGAGCAATTGGCACGGCAATGGCTACATGAATAATTGCCGGCCAGACTGATCTGGTCGATGGGACTCTATGCAGGTACCGGGCAGTTTTCTCTGCCCCACGACAACCCCCCTTCTATCTTATCTTTCCAGGAATTCATGGCCATGCAACCAGCGGCAAATCCGTTGAGCGGGTACGCGGGGTAGCTCCAGCACTCGTGGGCCCTGGCGGACAACACCTACGCGGAGAAGCTTCTTGACAGAAGCTCTCGATGGACAACGAGGCTTACCTAGATAGTTACCTTCTTTGGCAAAGTAGGGGTACAGCTTGGCCAGTGCTTACAAAGTCAAGGAGTCGACGACTACCAAGTCCGGCACTCGCAACATCACCTGTCCCGAAGTCATACACCACCTGGTTTGCATAATGCCGGAAACAGAACCTGTTCCTATAACGTTTGCCGACATAAAATTGTCCCGGGATGCAATCTGGGCAGCCTTGTTAACGATAGCCTGAGAGATCAAGACGGCGGACTCTATGACTGAGCAACTTGGTTTCACAGCGCGTCAGTGACAACATCGCGGATCAAAGCCATTTGATAGCTAAATGTACAAATAGCCTACAATAGGCGCTCCTCAGCACAGGGCTGTTTCAGTTGCCTCGTGATTGCCTGCTCCCAATCCTTAACCACTTCTTCCTCGCAACCCCTGCTTCGACTCCATAGCCATTGCCCACTACGCCAGGCCATGCGTATGGTATGCGCTCCATTCAAACTGTGTCGTCAAGGGCCTTGCTTTGCATCAAGTCTAGGAACTTTTCTTGGACGCCGCAGCGTCAGTTTGCTCTACGTCTGCGGGAAGAACAGCAGGGGCCGTATCAGGGGCAACCTCCGGCGAGTCGCCCTCGTCAATCGGACCCGGCTCCTCCTCGAGAGTTCCGTCCAGAGTGGTCGGCTTGAAGTCTCCGTTGTCAATTGACGCGGGATCGTGACCACGGCCACTGTTGCTGGCCGAAACACCGACGGCCAGCGCGCCGCCTTCGGCAATCTTCTGCTTCGTCTCCCGGATGATCTTTTCAGCCTCGCTAACCTTGGCTGGGTTGGCCGGAGGGCGCTCCACGCCAATGGCGTTCTCCTTGTCATTTTGACTTTCTAGCAGCGCCTCCTTGTCCAACCGGACAATCATACAGGACAAGTTGTCCGTGCTGAAGCGATTCAACGCATGATCGACGAGGAGTTTCGAGGCCTCAACCGGATCCTCGACGTTGCGAACGAGGTCAACGGCGTCTTGATCGGAGCAAACGTCCCAGAGCTAAGAAAACAGTCAGCAATTGTCTACGCTGTTAGGATCCAATACTTACTCCATCACAGGCTATGATGATGAACTCGTCACTCTCGGGTTGGATAACGGTTTCAGTTGTGTACGGATGCCCAGTGACCAAATCCTTCATATAGGTGTCACCGAGGGCTCTGGTCACAGCCAGAACACCGTTGACGCGGTTGTTGAGTATCAAACCACCCGCATTCGCTATCCGTTTCCCTTCGTTCTCATCGCTACCCTTGTGATCGTACGAAAGGCGGAGGGCTTTGCCAGACCGGCAGAGAATGATGCGGGCGTCTCCGACATTGGCCGTGTAAAGAACACGCTGGCGGCTCGCCGAACTCTTCAGCTTGGCGTGCGCGGCCTCGGGGCCGCTCGTAGATGTCGCCTTCTCGTCTGTGACTTCTTCTGACGTCAATTTGGCAGCCTTGGTGGCTGCCGCAGTGGCCGGCGCAATGGCCTGGGAGCCAGTCGCGGAGCGGTCACTGGGCACCCGATCCTCCCAACGTAACACGGCGACGGCTGCGGTGCATCCACTGTTCTTAAGAGGAAGCTTCTCTAGCTGCGCATCGACTGAGGTGAAGGTCTGGTCGAGGAGTTCGGGGATGGGACCGTTTGGGTTCTTTCGAATGATGTCCTCCAGGATAAGATGCAGCTTCTTTCCACACCAATCGGCAGCGAATGTACCGGCATGACCGTCAAAGATGGCAAAGTAGCCGTTGTCGGTCTCGATCATGTCCTGAGCAGGCGCATCCTTCTCGTCGGTCGCCGATTCGTTCTTCTTGCCCTCGAGAGCAGGGGCTGGAGTGTGCAGAAAGTTGTAGAGGAAAGCATGAGTATCCTCCATGGTACGACGGCACTTCTTGTTTCTGTCCTCCCAGACACCGACCCGGAATGTCGAACGCGGGCCGGGAATGGAATCGCCGGCAGAGTTGTTATGTTGGCCCTGCGGCACTGCGAGGGCAGGGTCCTGCTTGCCCAACTTCTGCAGAGGTGTCTGCGAACTCATATCCGAGCTGGTTCGGCCGACCTGAGAAAAGTTCAGGGTATTCTTGGCGTGAGCCAGCAGGCCGGCGGCCTTGCTCTGGACCCCGCTGGCACGGCGCTTCTTATCCACAGCACCATCCTGCTGGCGGCCCGGAGGACTGCTGTTCCCACTCCGCTTGTCGCCGCTGGCGGCCTGGTCGGATGACTTGATCGCGGCCGTGGAGCCCTTGTCAGACTCGGGCGAAGGCGACTTTCGATCTTCTTTCGGGTCGCTCTCCGCCTTGGACGCAGCCGAACTAGAGCCGCCGCCGAACATTCTAGTCAGCAGACCACTCCCCTGGTTGGAGAGGCTGCGACGCTTGCTTCCTGCCAGTTTAAAGAACCTTGAAAAGACGTCAAGGGTACCGTTCCGCTTGCAGAGTCGATGGGAGACGATGAGTTCGTAGTGGTTTTGTCTTCGTAGGGGTCGTTGTGTTCGTCGTCGTCGGAATGTCGCAAAGTTTGTTGTCTGAGAGAGAGGCAGCGTTAGTATTAGGCCTAGAGAGCAGTAGTAGTCTTTAGGCTTCGTGGAGGGCGAAGTGCTCCGAGACGGACCGGGGGCTAGATATTGGGCCGGGTCCGAGCTACGCAGGATTGATGCATGAGACGGGAAGGGCAAAAGAACAGATGTAGATCTCCGAGTGGTGGGCAGCCTCGCCACACAAGCGCCAGTAGGTCGCTTTGACTGACGTCGATAGTCAAGAGGGTGCAGCGTTACCCTGCCGATTTTGCAACCAGACAGAATACCACAAGGGCCGCGGCGCGCGTGTAATAACACTGGGCAAGAGAGGGGGGAGTATGCAGTATGCCAATGCCCGGGGCCATGGTGTTTGCATCTTTGTGAAGGTCGGGGTGACAAGTGACGTAGGTTGATTGATTGATGCTGGAGGGGAATCAAGATGGTACTCACCAAAGTGACGTACCCAACAAGACGGAGTGTCGGGACGACAACGCTGTTGGAGAAGACGTAGAAAGGTGGAAAAAGCCAACGTAGAGGCGTCGGGGGTGCAGTTTGCCGTGGGAGATGGTAGAAACCGCGATGTCGTTCGTGAGGGGAATGATGGTGTTGAGGTTAAGGCGTCAGAGGAGATGCGGGCGTGGGAGAAGTGAATGCGAAATGATGCTCTTTCGCTGGTTCAGTCTCCGCAGTCAGTCCTGGCAGGAGGGGGAGGGAGGGGAAGGGTTGGTTGGAGGGGAAAGGGCAAGCCGCAAGGTAGGTAAAAAGCGAAAGCGGCGGGAACGATTCGCAGGGTCGTTTTTAGCGGCGCTTACCAGCACTCCGTTATGGGGCCCTGCTCTCCCGGGATGGCCTGAGCTTCCCACTCTCGCTGCAACAACCCTGAGCTGAGCTGAGCTGAGGTTGGGGAGGCCAAGGTACCTGACGTGCGGTGCCTGAGATACGACCGAGCTGCGCTGGGTAGACTCGAGGTTTCTCGCGATTTCTCTTGGAAAGGTTGGTGTGGGAGCTGCCTCTCCTGACTGAGCTGTGCTGCGTTGTCAGGTCTCACTTGAGGCGGTGATGATGTCTTGCGTCAGATTGGGGGGGTAAGGCGAGGTAGGGCGAGGCGAAGCGAGGCGAGAGAGGCGTGTTCTGGTTCTGGATCTCAGCCAAGAAAACGGGCACACGAGGAGTTTCGACTGGGTATTGTAGAAAAGCCTCTGTGGTATCCGAATACTTTTGACGGAGGAGGATGGAATGAATCAAGAGTGAAAAGCACAGTTTCACTCGCCCTTCATTGGAACTTTTGGGACTCTGTCCTGAACTCTGCCCTTCTTAACTCCGCCGAGTCTGAAGCGACAGGTCCGGTCCGGTTTGGATCTGGAAGGGAACGAGTGACCTCACACTGAGACCCAACAATGAAATGTCGACTAAGTCAAACCCGGCGTTTCCCATGCCGATCATAGCACCAAAGCCCCGCGGTTAGATAACCTTCCTACCTTGGGTTATCGACCACTTCGACGGCATTGATACACGCAAATCGACTGCCACCTTCTGATTGAACATTTCTTGTCTGTCTACCTTTGCATGTTCCCAGCACAGAAAGGCCAACCGAGTCTTAACGGGACGCATGGATAGGGTTCCCTTGCATCCCATGAACGATTTAAGAAGACCCTCCCAGGTGCAGTCAACCACTTTGAAGGGCGCCGGGTGTGTCCGGGCCACGCCGCGTGGAGAGCGTTCGTTACGTCCCTCGATGCGTCTCAAGCAGAACGTATTGCGAAATGGCTTGTCACCGACTCACTACTAGGGCCACGAGATGGTCCCTTCAGAGAAAGCTTATGTCCAGGCGCCAAGATGGCCTTGACTTGCTCTGCCTCTACAATGGAGCAGAGTCGGGCGTTGGTCAAGTGTCTCTTCGACAACGTGGCGACGCAAGGCCCCTCCCATTACCAAGGGAAGACACACGCACGTTCGCACGAGAGGCGATTTCCATGAAACAGCAATCCAGAGCCTCTCGAAACGTCTGGATATCCCAGCCAAGTCGACGCGGGTAACGGTATGCTGGTATGATAGCTCAGCCAGTATGTGAACCTTGTAGGCCTAACAATGAAGCGGGGTAGGGTAGGATATCCCAAGCAGGTACCATGGGATTATCCGTATATGTCATCTCGTCACACCTTACGAAATGAGACCAGGAAACGTATTGTTCCGAGAAATCGGGGTCCGACATGCCGGGGCCCATCCTGCTGGGTTGGGCTGGCCTGGGAGATCTACCGCACAATTCTGCCCAGATGCTGTAGTCCACATTTGCTTGACTAACAGCTGACTCGGGGCAGCAGTGCCAACATGGCATTTCCAGGCGTTATAGGCACCCCGCGAGATATGTCGGTGCAAGATATCGACCGGATAATCTGCAATGCGTTCAAGAGTGTCCGCCCGGTGGCCTCATTGCGTGCTGGTCTGCAGTACGTACATCCCTGTAGAGGATGAGGTGTGTTAAGGTTAGAAATCTTACCGTAAGGGCTTCGCAGGTTGTTTCAACATAATCAACTTTGATATAGGTATCCCACCCACTGGCGCCAAACTCATCATCGGAGGATGCAATCGGAGGCAGAGACAAGGGACGGTGATGCCTTGATCTTTAAACTCAACTTCTCTCAGCCCATTCGGCACAAACATGCATCGCGGCGGGGGCAGTCAGCCTTTACTGTAGACGAATGACGCCATGCTTCCGATGCAACCTCCCGAGCGATAACTCAGAGCTCGCCAACCGAGACGTACACTTGGATGGTTGCTGCATATTGAGAAACGCCCGCTTGAGAAAAAGTGCGCCTTCCCGTATCCTAGGGACTCCGTTCCATGTGTGAAAAAAAAAGGAGAAAAAAAAACTAGCTGCCCAGAATTCCCCATCATCCATCCTTGCTCTCACTGAGCTTTGCGACCACTCCATTCAGTGTTACTACGACTACCGTCGGAGGCTGTCGAGACGGGCTTGAAGGTCGTCGTCGCCAGGATCCGCGCCCCCACCTCCGCCGACCGCTTGAGCAACTCGGCTCTCCGGTACTGCTGCCGTTTGCATTCCAGACGGTGTTTCTCCGAGCTGCGGAACCACCGAGTTAGCCAATGCTTCACGATCATCAGCTGGTCGTATGTGCTTACCGCGGATGTCAAGTCGACTCCGATCTCCTCCAACACTTGCTCCACTACCTCTTCGCCTTCTTCCTCGGCGCCGACGTCCATGGCATCATCCATAACATCGTCCATCATCTCTTGCCTTTGATCCATAATGTCGTTCTCGCGCTCGAACTCCATGGCGATACGCTGAAGTGCAGGGAGGTTCATCGATCGGTTCATCGTACCCAGTGCTTGGGTTGCGCCTTTCATGGCGGTCATCATCTGTTCGTTGGTGCGGTATGTCTGTGAGGGAACTCCAATGTCAGTCAAAAGCCCCACAAGAGCCAAGTGTTATCAAAATGTCATACCTGAAGTCGGAGAGAGATCTTCTGCAGTTGACTGCGCATGCCGTAGAACTTCTCAATGTATCTGCCAAGACCCAGTCAGTATCAATATCAGACACGCATCGGCTTTGCCGCTACTGACCTCCGCGTCCGGACCAGATCCTTGGCCTGGATCTTGCAGGCGCCCATTTGTCCCTTCTGGGCGCTCTGCTTGATCTGCGTGATCAACTGCTTCTCCTGTTTTTCCAACTTGACGCGAACTTGGTCGAGTTCTCGGATCGCCTTATCCAGCATGCGCTGGTTCTTGCGCAGACGCTCCGCAGGCGTCATGCGCTTGCCGAACATGTACTCTAGAATCTGCGTCGCAGGATTAGCAGGTGGGTGATGGCGGGGAAGAGGCACGCATCATACATTCATCGTGGGCGCTGGCGACGGTCGATCGGCGGGCGATAGGGTGCCGTTGAGTCGGAGAGGCAATTAAAAGGCGCTCAAGGGTTTGATGGCAGTGACAATGTTGGTATCGTAGAGAGGAGTTGGTGGTGGAGGTTGATTGATGTTTGGGTTGCCTAGCACTCACGTAACAGACACGGGTACGTACAACAACAGCTTGGCACGGCGTAACCAGGCCAAGCCGAACCGGATTCCAAGGAAGTCACTGCTGCTCACAGCGGTTGCGCTGGGAGGTCCGACCAGGTTCCCGCTCAGATGATTAGATAAGGAGAGGTTGGCGGCGGCATTTTCCGACGTCTCTCTCTGGACCAATAGACGAAGCGCCGCGACAATGGGTGGTGGGAAATTTGCCGCTCCGCCCAAAATCATGCGCTAGGAATTCTACAGGTACATGACGAGCTTCCCTGAAAAACATTCACGACCTGACAAAACTTCGCCGCCACCTGCTCAACCTATACCCCCTTTCTCCTTTCCATACTGTTGCTCGACCATGCTACTTCCACCATCGACCGATCGAAAATGAGCCAAGATTATTTCTCGAAGAAGGGCAAGGCCCCTATGGACCAGGAGGTCGAGAAAGACGATTCCGACACGCCGTACCAGCCGGTGCCGTCATCGAGCAGGCCACCGCAGTTCATGACTGTTGGATCTGGCTCCACCTCAGCACATGCAGCGCATCTTCAGTCCCTGCTTGAGAACGACTCGGGCTATGGCGGTAGCATTGCTGATGGCGATACGATGACCTCCTCTGTCGACCGCCACATCCCGACTCCTGCTAATGGTCAGCTCTCCGAAGTTGACCGTCGCAGCCAGGCCGGCGCTATCCACCAGCTGTGGTATAATGCACACAGAGTGACGCTGGGTCGCTCGATCAACAAGGTCATCGAGCTTTTGAAGGAGTTGCAGGAGATGAACGTCTCCTGGCCCGCGCACTACCCTTCAGTCCAGCGAACCGAGGGATCGCGGCCTGCCCCTTCGCATACATACTCGGCAGTTGGCGAAGCTCCCGCGTCTGCCTCCTCGGTTCCCTCCTCCCCGACCGCTCCCCCGGCAATACGTCGATCCTTCACATCAGTCGAAGCCCGTAACGATGCCGAGTCGAGCAAGGCCCAGGAGCGTCGCGCACCTGAGGAGCCACGGCTAGTCACCCCCCAGATCGCCCAGGACTTCTCGATTCTCAAGCTTGATCTCAAGCTAGGCTCGCTGCATCAAGCGGAGCTTGTTCATTCCTTGGAGAAGGGCTCCATCGCCTCGCTTTTGGATGGCAAGATCAGCTCTAGCATTCGACACCTGCTCAACCTCCGCGAACGAATTGAAGATACCTCTAGCAAGGTGCTCGTCACTGGTGACCTTAACGCCGGCAAATCGACATTTTGCAACGCTCTGCTACGCAGAAAGGTCTTGCCAGAAGACCAGCAGCCCTGCACGGCGATCTTTTGCGAGGTTCTGGACGCGAGGGAGAATGGGGGGCTTGAGGAGGTGCATGCAGTTCACAGAGACGCGACCTACGACCGACACAACGAGAGCACCTACGACGTCTACAAGCTGGCACAGCTGGAGGAGCTTGTTGTCGACAATGAGAAGTACACCCAATGCAAGGTTTATGTCAAGGACGTCCGGACCATTGACGAATCACTACTCAACAATGGTGTGGTCGACATCGCCTTGATCGATGCGCCTGGCTTGAATTCCGACACGACAAAGACAACGGCCGTATTTGCCCGCCAGGAGGAGATTGACGTGGTCGTTTTTGTAGTTTCGGCTGCCAACCACTTTACCATGACTGCTAAGGAGTTCATCTGGGCTGCCGCTGCGGAGAAGGCATACCTCTTCATCGTGGTGAATGGTTTCGACAACATCAGAGACAAGAAGAGATGCGAGAAGATGATTCTCGACCAAGTCCAGGGCCTCAGCCCGAGGACGCACAAGGAGTCTTCAGAGCTGGTTCACTTCGTTTCGAGTAACGCTGTTCCTACTGCTCCGGCGCCACCGGGTGGCCCCTCAGGCGGCGGTAGCGGCAGCTCAAGCGGCGGAGGCGGTGGCGACGATCCTAGCGATGACCCAAAGGGCAAGGGCAAAGATGTCGAAAAGATTCGAGACTTTGAAAATCTCGAGCAATCGTTGCGCAGATTTGTTTTGGAAAAGCGAGCCCGATCCAAGTTGGCACCGGCCAAGACCTATTTGCTCAACATCCTGAACGACGTCCACGTTTTGGCCAACGTCAACTCAGAGGTCGCCAACTCCGAGCTTGATCGGGTCACCAAGGAGCTCAAGGAGATTGAGCCTCAGCTCGAGTCGAGCAGAAAGGCAACGGCGCAGGTTGGCGATGAAATTGACAAGATTACCGAGGAGACGTGCAAGGAGATCTACGACTACACGCGGACGACTCTTAGTGCGGCTATTGATCACGCCGGAGACAACAACCACGGCGTTCCTTACCGGGGCATATTCAACGCGTTCGAGTATGCTGATGAGCTGAAGGAAGCCATGATGTCGTACATTCACGAGTCGGTTATCGCTTGCGAGGAGCACGCAAAGTCGAAGACCGTTGGTGGCGTCAACGCTATTAAGCAGCTCGGCATCTTGCATCTTGGCGACGACTACCAGAACCTGGTGTTCCGGCCTGATGTCATGTTCAAGAGAAAGCGCGACTCCATGGCTCGCAACGTGGACGTCCCCACCGAATTCTGGGACTTTGTCGACTGGAACACCATCGTTCAAAAGCAGGAGAAGGTTGCGGGCACGGGTATGGCGCTTACTCTCGCGGGAGCTCTTGTTCCGCGCATGATGGGCACCAGCGGCTGGCTCGACCATGCGTTGAGCGCGGCGAAGATTATGGGCAACGACAACTTGCGTCGTCTCATTGTCCCTGGTATCGTCGCAGCCGGTAAGTTTCTCGCCCTCATTGTTCGTGTATAGGCGAAAACTAACAACTGCCCAGCCTTCGCAGCCGCAGCGTACATTGTCAACCAGATCCCTAACTCGCTTCCCCACCGTCTGTCGACCAAGATCGCGGCTCAGCTGGAGTCTGTCGACTATGTGCATGCCAACTCGACGCGCATTTCCAGCTCAGTCCGCAAGGTCCTCCGCTACCCAGCTGACAATCTCCGTGTTGGCTTGGAGCAGTCAGTCAAGGACCTGGGCAAGCGACGCGAGGAGACGCTCAAGGTGCGTCAGGAGAGCGAAGTCGCGCTCAAGTATTTTGGCAACCTCGTCCGCAACAGCGCGCAGCAGAGGACGGTGGTCGAAGGCGTCGACTTGGACGCACCGCCCCCGGGAGCCGTCGCCGCCGGCCTTCATTGAGATAGCTCCCCCATCTCATCTCATTCCTTGTTTTTGTGGCAGGATACCTTACGATAGCATGGAAAATGGCGTTTATCATTGGTGGTGAACTGGGCTCCCCTCAACCGACCTTTGCGGTCTTTGCATGCACCTATACCTGAGTTTATTCCCCCTTTTCCTTTCCCGTGGGAGTTTCGAAAACGGTGTGTTAGGTAAGAGGACACACGATGTTAGGCATATACGTAGAGGCCAAGAAAACAACTTAATTCTCCGTAACTCTCATCTTGACGCAACTATCTAGCTGCGGCCATCGTTGCCGGTGGATCGACCAGCCCAAGAGCGCGGCGTAGTTTTGAGGTTGTCAAAGCTCAAGCCTGTGGATGGCTGAAAGACGCAGTGACAGACCGACCACGAGATCTCGGAAGCAACCTACCGGAATGGCATCACTGGAAAGAAGCGGGATTTATAGGAGGTGATATTGACACCTCGCAATCTCGGTCTCGACCCTGTTGTTTACCTAATGTCGAACGCTGCCGAGGTCCGTCCAGTCCGGCCTTGTGAGCCGGCGCCAGCTAGCGCCGGGCACCGCTGGGGGGGTCTCGAACCTCCCGGCCCCCGCTCTTTACCTCCTGAGACCGTCATCTCTCCTTTTTTTAACTTCTACATAGTATTAAACACCGGGCAGCGGGACGGGGGGAGATTTCGCGCAATTCCCGCAGGTGGAGAGTGGGGCCCCTCACTTTGCCCTGCAGGTGGGCGCTCATTCTAGTGTAGACGAACTCTCCAGCTCCCTGGTTGGAGATTTCGTTTATGAATATCTATGGGCGGGTTCTTGGTTGAAGAAACGTAGATTGGCTCCCACAGGATGCAGTATGTGCAGGAGTCGGAGGTGTTTGTATAGGAGAATGTGCTGTCGGGCCCTGTTTACGGGACAATGCAACGAGGTCTTTAGCCGATGGCGAGATAGGAGAGGAGCTTTCCCGCTTTGGCCCCCCCCCCCCCTTTTTTTTCTTTCCTGAGTGGCTCGTGGCAAAATAACGGTTGTGCATCCTACTTGCGGCCTGCATGAAGGGATAAGGACATGCACGCTGCAGGCACTTTATCTGAGCTTTTAGCTTCTCCGTGCTGCACGTTAGTTTTGCTCCTATGTGTCCAAGGAGACCGGCCCCCCCTCGTCGGATATGTCGTGATGGGATGAGAGACATCGGAGTTTAATATGAGCTGCATCATCCGAAACGCTGACAATGTTACCTACGTAGGGCAGGATGGATCACTTTCCATGCTGGTCGCCATCGCCGTTCTAGAAAGAACACGAGCGTTTTCTCCTCACCGTTTGGATACCGATGCAAGACATTATTTGAGACACGCGATGTGCCGTTCACCGGCTTCTGGGCGGTGGGACGGAGATTGGGGGACTCGGCAACGACGAGGCAGCAAGGAGAGAGATTATGCCAGAGAGAGGGTAGATTTGTCAAATGTGGGCACGGGGCACGTGTGGTGATTTCCAAAGAAGACCGACTCTGAATTTCATTTTGGCCCTTGACGCTGTCGTTGGGTTCATTGGCAGACAGGTGGTGGACGGTAGTGGGTTTGGGGGGTCATAGCGCGGGAACAAGAGGCCATTGGAAACGGAGACACCCAGACTATCGATGTGTGTGTTGTTGTGGACACAGGCGCGGGACGATTGAATATGTTTCTGCAGCATCGTTTCCTCAAAGTGGGGGATGGTGGGTGATTCAGTCCGTATAGCGGTAGCGAGCGGCGATGCGGCATCGTGCTCCAGATGCGCACTATACAGGATGCCTGCCAAAATGTTATGCGGGATAAGACTTGCTTGCACTCGTTCGCTGGCGCATATGCAAACAAACCACTGTTCCACCTGCTCATCCGAGCCGGAAGAGTGTCAGAGGGGTGGCATCGCTTATATCGAGCTGGGAGGGGCTCTTCTTCTCGCTTGGTTTCTTCTGGCTCAGAGTTTTTTATTGAGAGGGTGTTGGATCAGGCGTTGGTTTTCATGCGACGAAGGTCAATCCGGCGTGGGACGAACTCTGCTTATGCGTCAGTTTTAATTATGAACTACGCGAATCTAAGCAGTTCGTTTCCACGAGCCGAGTCTATTGAGTTTGGCTTCAAGCTTAGCGACGCGTTTTGCGGTGGTCATCTCTCTGATTTGATGACTTTGGTGTGGTGGTCTAGAATAGCCGGTTCGGGCGGAACCTGGAGACGTATTCGTCGCATGTCGAGACTTGCGACGCGACATGCCGAACCAGTTTCAATATCCCGCGCTTATTACATGCAGTATTGTGATTGACGTGAAAGACCACCAGTGAGAAGACGGCAGGCACCAACGAGCAGGGTCCGAAGTCCCGGCAGCAGGACTCTATGTTTCACCTCCCCGAGGCTGCCCCCTCGTGAGTCGTCTCTACTGGTCTTTTTTTTTTTTTTTTTTTGCCAGTTCATGTTTTGATAGTTGCCTCGACCTCTGAGCCGTGCCAACGGTTGACAAATGGGGCGTCCCCTTTGTGCCCTCTAGCAGATCGACTAGCGGCGAGCGGTGGCGTCGGCAATGGGAGACGCGGAAAGGAGATGTTTATTTTTTCTTTCTTTTCTTTTCTGGCGTTTTGGCGTTTTGGCGTTGATACCAGACAAAACGGTCTCGTTGATTGGGGTTTGGTCATCGGTCACGTCCATCGAGGCAAACATTGAATCCTCGCCCGGCTGAGACGTTGAACTCTAAAAACCCAGCCCAGCAATCAGAGCCCGCATTGGAGCTTTGGTGCTGCAGGGCGGATGTCCCGTGCCTTTTCCGTCTCTCGTATGGATGGTGGTCTGTGTCTGTGTTGCGCTTCCCAGGCTTTCGGGGTTGCACCGCAAACCAATGACAGCACGACAATCGTATGGCTGAGTCGTGGTCATCGCCTCCGTGCCTCCCTTCGTCTTTGGCTCCGTGGTTCTCTAAGCATTCTTATCCCCCTAAGCATTCTGGACCGAGCATACAAGCAAGCGCTCACCTAGCTCCCACCCCCCGGAAGGGAGAGGATCCAGGGGGGGAGAGGGGACCGAGAGCGAAGATGTCTTAGTGGTGTACAGAGTAGCTGCAGCGGAGGTGCGGCGGACTCTGGGATGGGCAGAGATGAGATTGGGAGGTGGGAGTGGGCGGGGGAAGATTACTGCGTAGAAGAAAAGAAGAAAGAAAGACGAGAAAAGAAAAAGAAAAAAGGATGCAATGGCAGTTGCCAACGACTTTGTTGCGCGTCCCGTCCGTAAGAGTATAGGGTGCTAGGTGCCTATGTCAGTACCCGTGCGATAGACCCTGGCCCATTCAACCCAGACAGGCATGGACCTGTCATCGCCTAACGTTCCTACCGTACCCTTGCCCAGAAGGAAACTTGGGGTTCCCTTACCTTGGTCGCCAAAGTTGTCCAGCAAAGAAGCCCCCAATCGCTTCCCTTTCTTCTTCTTCTCCCCCCCTTCTCTCTTCCGCCGTCAACTTTGCGCGTCCCGAGAGCTGCGACACTGCGACTATCTCGCACACACTCCCTTAATCCCGCCTTTGCCGTATCTTTATCGTCTTGCAATCTTGTCCCTTCCCTTCCTTCCACCCTCTCTTTGGACCCCTTGTTGTTGTTGTTGTTGTTGTTGTTGTTCTCGTTGCTGGCCCGTCCCATCTTCAGGAACCTTGGCTCTTTAGTTGCATTAGTCACTTCCGATTCTTCATTACCTACGCCTTTAGTTCCTAGCGCTCTGCCGGCCCTGTCGGTCGATGCGTAATTACCTCCCTACCCATTCATCTTATCCTACCTACGTACCGATACGCTCATCTCCTTCTCCAGCATAGCATAGCACACCACGCCGCCAACCCTGCGCTCTGGCTATCCCATCCCACGCGCCGACCGCCTTCACCTGCAGCAGTACGCAGCTCCAGTGCAACCACAACCTCACCCACGCCCCCCCCCCGCTACGCCGGCGGCAATCACGACCACTTCAGGCGTAGGCAAATCAGACTAGGCCGATTTGCTTCAGGCAGGCCCTCCACCAGAGTCCAGAGAAACAAGAGTAGCTCCCTCGTCGGGTCTATCACCCGTCATCCGTGGCGCTCAAACACCTACGTTTCCCACTCTCTCTTTCCTGTCGCATTTCCCAATCGCGAGACCACCAAATTTCCCTTTCCTCCTCAAACCCCCTCGTTACCGAACAAGAAGGGCCAGACACACGCTTTCTTCTGCCCGCGTCTCTTGAGCGTCGTCCTCGTCGCCGCCGCCCCCCCTCTTCTCTCTACGGATACATGTGCCCATGTGCGGCTCGCCCATGCCCCTTGCTGGCCTGCTCTACATGTCGCCGCCGCTGCCGCCGCTGCTGCTATCGCCGCTGCCCTTACCCCTGAAAACTACAACCGCCGTCGGTGCGGCCTGCTAAGCGACGAAATCCGCCCACCCCTTCCGAACCACTTTTTGGTCCTCTGTCCCAAGAATCCACCCGATTTCGCCCTGCGGTCCCCGGGCACCAGCTCAGTCAGCTCCCAGCTCCCAGCTCCCAGATTTCGATCTTGCGCGCGCGCATCGCCCACCACGCCCGCCGCCGACGAAGACAACAACACGAAACCGACGACTACCGAGTTCTCCCCGAGTTGTGCCAGCCGTAGCCCGCCAAGGCGACAGGGAGGATGTCGCTCAATGGCCTGGACGACCCCAAGGTCAAGGAAGCCCATGATGCTGCCGTTGCTGAACCAGGAGGATGGTATGACACCCTCCCTTTCTTTGTTTTGCCCCCACCACTACCGTAATTCGAGCCATCATCATCATCTCCGCGCCCTTCACGATTACTTCCACTCGGGAGCCGTGCACCGGCCATGCGCCGGCTCGGCTCCCTCTACCTGCTTCCACCTCTGGAGACCCCATGTCTCTCTCCTTGCCTGCTGTCGCAGCTAGATTCATATAGGCTGACCGACGTCATGAACTGCTGCACAATATAGGTTTCTCCTCAAGTATGAGAGTCGCGACGGCGTCGAGCTGCTAGGTCGCGGGAATGGTGGCATCGTCGAGATACGGAATAACATCGCCCAATTCGAGAACGAGAACGACGACAATGCGCCATTGTTTGGTTTTCTGAGGTACCGCCGCCGGAACGTAATCATCAAATATCTCCCCGAAGTTTGCTCTCGACTGGTCCAAGGTGGGTTGTCTCTGAATTTGCGGCGCAATCTTTCAAGGTTTCCCCCATTCCAGAGGGAGATGAAGCTGACTCGGCCTCCAATTTGTCACCTGTAGCTCGTGTAACTGTTCATTTCAACGCCGTCTGTGAGCGGTTCGCACCGTATCACACCGACTTCTCGATAGCCTCTGCAAAGGAACTCAAAGACACCAAGTTGTCGGCCGCATGCTCCCTGCACGCCGCCTCCGGCTCGACCTCGTCCTCGACAAGCTCCTTGCGACGGAGGCGGTTGATGGAAATTGCCGAAGAGGAAGAGGAAGAACAGAGAGCAAGCAAAAGGAAGTCTGTCGGTCCTGATAACTTGTCCGAGACCTCGGGGGAAGAGCCGGCCCCCGCACAAAAACCGCCTGTTGAAGGGCCGCCCGTGACGTTGAACGCCGACCTTGCAAACTCGCCCGAGGAGAGCAAGTTTTCTGCATCTCTGGAGCCGCCCGAGTTCGTCGGCGTCAGACCGCCTTCGCCTTCAAAATCGATTGAGGAGGGACGGCGCATGTCATCGCAATCCCTGCGACCCGACCTTTATTCTTCATCGTCTTATACATACGGCAAGCCCAGAGTCAAACTTGCCCCACGACCATCTCTCGACGTTTCTGGCCGTGCTCGCCCAGGCACCGCTGCAGTGGGGGCTGCTTTCAGGCCAATTTCACAGATGCCGTCTGGCTTCAAGTTATTTTCCAAGGGTTCCAAAAAGGGAAAGTCCAAGGAAAATACTCTGGATCCTTCCGAACCAACCCACTTGGACGAAACAACCGAAATCTCCTTGGCCGCCACTTCCACACCCCTACCCGACGGGGATCCCATTTCCCAGATTGATGAGCTCGTTAGGCCACACACGAGCTCTGGACGACCCACAACGAGCTCGGGCGCTTCAATTAAATCCGCAATGCCGTCCTTTACCACCACCTCTACGAAGCAGGTCATGACGCCCGAAAAGGCGCGTCTGAAGAAGGCGATGCAACTCAGGGAGAAGAAAAGGATGATGAGCCAGCAACCCTCCAGCGTCCCAGTCGTTGATGCCCCCGCCGAGGACGTGACATCGGAAAAGGCCCAGCCTGTTGAACACGTTGAGGAGATATCCGAGCCCACCCTCGCTACCGAGGTAGATGACGAAGACAGCGGCGAGAGACGTCTCTCGGTATCAAAGGCCGACTCTGGCATTGTTGTCGACGCATCCTCGATTTCCGTCCACACTGACGTTGCCTCTGAGTTTACTCAGAGCGACTCTCATCCCACCTCGCCCATTATGGCATCTTCGGAGCCTGACCACTCGACCAAGGCGTCGTCGCTGTCCGAGTCTACTGAAGAGACAGTGAGGGAGCTCGACGAAGAGAAGCCCAACGACGAGGCCGGTTCACACGAGACACAAGAGGAGGTTGAGCCTGCAGCCGAACCCGAAGTTGCCACTGCTCCAACTGCAGAAGAGGCAGACCCCCCCGCCGTCACTGATCCTACACCAATTGAACCAGTGGCCGCTAGCAACGAAACGCAAGAGGAGGCCGAGCCGCTCATCAAAGCTCCGATCGCCGCAGTCGACGATTTTCCCGATGCCCAACCCGACGCTACCCCCGAGGCTGTCACTGCTCCCGAGACGAACGAGCCCAAGGAGACCCTTCCTGTGGAAGAGAAGCCGACCGAGTCCGAGACTCAAGATATCCCCTTTGCTGAGACAGAGGAAACCCAGGAGGTTATCCAGCCCGTGGAACAACAGAATGAGACTGAGAAGGTAGCAGTCATGGACAAACAGCCGAAATCGCCCTTGAGCTTACCAATCTCCAAGTTCTCCACGAGCCCAGCACGGGCGACGACGCCCATCGAACCGAAAGAGACACCGAACCAGGAGTCGAAGCCCGATACCACGGTTCAAACTGCCGTGCCGGCATCGTCGGAAACATCGCTCAGCTCGCCGCTATCGCCGCGTTCCCCTAGCCTCAAGGTCCCTCGGTCCAAGTTCTCAACACAGGATCTCAGATCAGCTGCAAACGCCGAGGTGCCTACCATCATCTCACCCCAAGTGGATGCACCCCGCGAGCCAGTGGCTGCCGCTGACGAGGAGCCCCGCGATGCCGACACTCAGTCGGCGGATACAGAACTGACAAAGAGAAAGGCGTTTGTCGAACCCATCCGTACTGACCTGAACGCTCCGGACAAGGTGGCAGAGGACAACATCTCCGACGACGAAGATTTGATGGACGAGCTTCACTCAGCCACCGTCGAGCAAGCGCAGCACATTACTGTTTCTAAATCGCCCATCACGCCAGTCTTCCCCAGCCCCCCACAGAGCGTCAGCAGGCCAGCTTCGCGCGGTGTTGTCCGCACCATATCGAATCCCATTCGCGGCAATCTCCTCACTCCGGCCGACGTGGCTCAGGCACAGAATCAGAGATCGATCTCATCTGGCGCTGCCTTCCTGCACAAAATCACGCAGCAACAAGGCAGCCAACACTTGGCCCCCAAACAGCCTGGCAAGATTGGATCTAGTATCTCCCAGCGCATCAAGGCGTTGGAGAAGCTGTCTGCACACGCACCCGGAACCACAGAACCGGATCCGACCGGCTCCAAGTCCCCGAGACCATCCTCGGCATTCTTCGCTGTCAAGAGGGGACCTAGCGTAAGAGAGCCTCCTTCTCGCTCTCCGTCAGTCGTCGATAGGGCAAGCTCGCTTACTCGGGGTGGCAGCCCTGTGCCGTCAATAATGACGGACTCGCTGGAATCCTCTCCAGAGACTGCAAAGGCGAACCGTGGCAGATCAGGATCCATGGCCAACAGGCTATCGATGTTCGAGGTGCCCGGCAGCAACCCGCCAAGAGGCCGGCCTGAGTCCATCTCCGTTACAGCGCGGATTGTCCGCGATCCCAGCCAAGTCGGCAAGGCGCCTGAGCCGCCCAAGAACCCTTCTGATTTCGAGCGACTTGACCTCAAGGCGTCTCCGTTGGTTGTCGACCATCAGAAGGCCGAGCTTCCACTGCCACCAGCCAACCTGGCAGCGGTGGAGCCTTCAAAGGAGACTATTCAAGAGAGGAGACTGTCCAAAGAAAAGCGTCGCTCACAGTCCATGGACCCCAAACCCGAAGGAGACGAAGTGCCTCGCCGCTCTTCACTCAGCATCATGAAGGGCTTCATCAAGGATCGACGTAGGTCCCTCACTTCGTCGTCCACTGAGGCTCTGACGGCTCCCTTGCCCATGTCACCCGCTTCCAAATCGCCCGCTTCCAAGTCGCCTACGAGACCACCCTCGACTCACCATAACTCCTCTGGCCTCGGCCGTCGATTGTCTGTCAGCAGCCGTCGGTCTTCGATCAGCAAAGATAACGATGCGGGTGGATCCATGTCCCCATCGATATTCACCGAAGGCAGCGGATCCGGTGACGACAGCAAGTCGACAACCAGCGACAAGAAGATGGGTCGCGCAGGCCGCTTCATGCGTCGCCTCTCTTCATCCCTCAGCAGCACGGGCCGAGGTAAGACCATGGCCTCTACTGCCATCTCTCCAACGGTTCAAGAAGAGGATGCCTCTGAACTCGCTCGGCTGCAGCAACCCACCATTGAGGCCTTCATGGGAGACGTCAACGTTCAGTTTCCCGATACCCTCTTGTGGAAGCGCCGCAGCATGTGTCTGGACTCTCAGGGCTTTTTAATTCTAAGCACAGTCGCCGCGACGACCGCCACCAAGGACAAGCAGCCTACCGGCGCTGGAGTCAAGCGATACCACCTTTCTGACTTCCGGATGCCCTACATTCCTGACATGGAGATCCAGGAGCTGCCCAACAGCATCTGCCTTGACTTCGTCGAGGGCTCGGGCTTGCAGGTTGCGTGTGAAGATCGCGGCGGACAGATGAATGTACTCCACAGTAAGTCACCCATGGGCTCGCGATCCTGAACACAGCTGACACCTTTCCCAGTTCTTCGAGACGCGCACCAGAGCCACAGCTCGTTCGGCCAGTAAACAACATCACCTTACCATTACTCTGGGATCTTTTTTCACCCAACCTTTTTTCTACTATACCCAAATTTTTCAACCTTTCCTAAAAACACCAACACCAGCCGGCAAACCCGCCCTTTCTTTTTGTCAAGACACCTTCTGGCCAATCATCTCGACTTTGCATGAAGGCTACTTCGCATGGATCATGGCTGCTACACTTGCAGTCCTGATATACACCACCACTTGAGCAGCACCAACACCCGCGATGATGCTCATTCCTCATCTACCTACCTAACCCACACAACACAACCCGCCTTCTACTAACAGGCATTAATTGCATGGCCCAACGCCTTCTACACACATTCTTGTGTTTTCATTTTTATTTTTTGCACTTCGTTTCAGTCAGGAAATGATACCACCTTTGCATGGGGACAGTTCAGGTTGGAGAAGAACTTGGAGAGGGACGCGATCAGGGGTCGGCGGACGTTAGAGGAAAAACGCCCAACACCCGACCGACATCTCCCATTGGAACATGACATTTCAGAGAAGGACCAAATAAAGATGACGGGGAATCATTTTTGTGTCAACAACAACGATAGAAACCCCATGTCTGAGTTGGTTTGGCGCGTTCGATACCGCCTGTGTAGGAGAAAATTCTGAATGTACATACTACCCTACCGCCATTTCTGCGGACTGACAGCGAGGCAAGACCGTGGTCTTGAGATAAAACTTCCGTTTCATCTGCTGATGCTTCGATTGAGATGCTGATATCTGACTTGACAACTTGTGGTTAACGTGGATGGTGATGACGTGATGTTGGCGCATGGGGAGCATTTTCGCAGTAACTTCGCACATGGTAGGCAAGCCTGATTCTCGTCTAAGTAGCTAAAGCTAACCATCTGAACCTGGTAGTGGCAATCAGCATATTCGTTCAGCGGGATAGTCACTTGGATGAAATGGTTCAACATGGTTGGCGCGGCATCTCACGCTCGCGATTTCACGAAACTTGAATCTAGGTGGGCCAATACAAGCTATCTTGGTGTTTGACTGCTGAGCAACGACCCCGCCATCTCTCCTGCCCAAGAATGTCGTATCGGGTTCTCCTTCCATAATCGGGCTATTTTTGGCTTTTGCAACCATGCGTTTCCTGGCCCTGCGACGTCGAGAGGATTCTACCGCCGAACCGCTTCTTCCATGACGTACGCGCAGCCAATGTGATTTGTCCTGGCTCGCTTTCTCGATGGTCTTTTCCTGGTTTCGTCCTCTGGTCGTTATCGGGCCGCCCTTTGATTTTGTGAATCGTACCAAACTTCACCCCTTTCGAACTCGTTCAGATGAACAGGTTGTGCCTGCGGGACGTTGGTAAGATGTTTTTCTTGTTTGGGAGTCGGGGGCTCACATACCGGAATCGAGTACTTTGGCGAGTGTCAGAGGGTGGTTGTGATATCATCGCGGTTTGGTCTTTGAGGTCGTAGTCGAAGCCACACCGACGCAATACACATGGAATGGGGAGCGAGCGGCCGGGAGGGTGGCTCAGTTCTGGCTATGGTGCTCCGTCTCGCGACGCTCGTTGCGGTTGCGAGCAGCCGTCATGCCGGCGTTCTGCTCGTAACCGTTAGCGTCGCTAGCACCCTCGTCGGCACCGACGCCGTCTTCGAGGGATGCGCGGCGAGGGGCTCCGGCGCGCACCTCGAGGGCGCGGGGCAGCGCGGCGAGGCGGTTGCGGAACCAAAGCAGCCAGCCGCCCTCGGGGACGAACTGGCCGCGGAGCATGGCGTCCGTCATGTCGTCGAGGCCGTCCTGGTGGGTGAAGTCACCGCCGTAGTACCAGTAGATGCAGGGCGCCCAGCAGCAGAACATGGAGGCGACGAGGAAGGCGACGGCGACGCCGCCGGCGATGCCCTTGAACCACTTCAGGACGCCGAGCTGCTCGCCGTAGGCCCAGGTCTTGAAGAACTCGGTCGTTTCGGTGGGGGCCATGGCTGTGATGGTCGAGGTGGGCGTCACGTTGGGTGCGGTGACGGCTGAGAGGGAGGTCGCGATGGAGGTGATTGTGTCTGTGTTTCCCGAAGGCCAAGGGCTGGGGCCGAGCCAGGGGAGGAAAGGGTTTTGGAACGCCATTGGCTGCAAGGCTTGGGGGAGTGGCTGTCGGTCGGACTATGATGGGACAGGCTGCGTCGAGGTGGTTAGCATCGTAGGCGCGAGGAGGACGGCCCAGGGGCTCGTGAATGGAGTTGACGTACGGGGTGCTTGGCCGCAAGGCGAAGAGAACGCTGGACTGCCGGTTTGTAACGAGATTCAGCTTGAAGGAAGAGAAACACCTGAATCCGATCTGTGTATATGGTAAGAAAGAGAGTTCTGAAATACGAGATGGGTGAATCCTGAAACCTGCAGCCTCTTGAGAGAGCACCAGCTTTGGTGGCTAGAGCTGGGAACGGGAGTGATTCTCTTGATGGTCTTCTTTCAATGGCAGAAGACTCTTGTGTTTGCCACAAGAGCTAGTCAACGGTCAACGATGGTTGAACAACGTGAATGCGCGGACCCTCAAGGGCGTTGATGTTTGAGTATGAAGATGCGGAGAGAAAGGAAAACATAGAAGTTTGTGGGAACCTCTAGGTATCAGCCACTTGAGATTTTCAAGAGATGCGTCTGCTGAAGAACAGGAGGGAGAAAGCAAAAGAATGGGGCAGAGCAAGAAGAGGTTAGGAGGGAAGGAGCTGGCAGGCTCGATTTTGGCTACACAAGAGAGGAACGGCCTTTGACATCTTTGTACGTCTTTACTCATGCCTTCGAACGAGGTTTTGGACTGGACCCAATCGGACGTACTCTTCACTCAAGTCTAGAAACATTAAATTTGAATAGCCTTGCAGAGGATTCACATCCAACATCAACAGTTATTCCATAACCCGCTTGTTCTCCTCCAAAAAACCCAGAATGGCTTCCCACGCAACCCCCCTCCTCATTCCGGTTTCATCATCCCACGACGAATGCAGGCCGATGAGCCTCCCTGTCCGCCTCTCGATCAACGGTGCGCCGCTGTGTCCCCAGTACGTCCAGCAGGTGTGCATCAGCGCTCCGATCTCCGAGTTATCCTGCAGGTCCTGGCCCTCGGCGCAGCCCCTGAAGGTCCCGGTGCTGAGGTGCAGCACGTCGTAGTCGGTTCTGGTGCCTGGGCTCGCAGCCTCGAGGTCCTCGCTTCCCGGATGGCCGACGCAGATGAGGCGGGTTTGGAGTGGTGGCGGGGTAGGCGAGGGCGTGATGAAGGGGAACATTGGTGGGGATGTTGCTATTGTTGATGATAGGGATGGCGCTGGTTGGGCCGCTACGATCTTCAATAGAGCAAGGTCTCTCTTCGCGTCCCATGCCAGAGGCCTCGCTTCGACGACCTGGCCCGAGGCGAAGAGGAGCCAGTGGCTTCTGAAAGAGTCGAACTCGTCGGCCGTTTCGGCTATGCAGTGGGAGCAGGTGAGGAGGATGCCATCGGGTGAGATACAGACGGCCGTGCCGGCCTCTTCTTGGGCAAAAACCAGAGTTGCCATGACTGATGGGGCGAGACCCTTACGCTCCATGTCACGTGGAACTATCATGAGTGTTTCTACAAGGAGTCGACGCTTCTTTAATAAGAGTTGGAGGTCTGTTTTCTTTAGGTCTTTGAGTTTGAGGTTTTGTCTGAGCACCTCTGGTAGCTGTCTTATACTGTCTGCTTCATTGACAGCGGTTCTAGTGGCAGATGCAGTTTGATCATTGCTGGTTTGAGATGATACGGAAGACGCTGCTGCCATCTTAGCCAGCATTGCCCCCTGCCTCGTTTGCCTCGGTGAGACAGCTCTTGGCTGAGATGCCTGTTCCATCGTGGTGAAAAGGGAGAAAAAAAGCTGGGGAGGTATATTGAGAAGTGACTCTATAGAGGATCAAAGGCCGAATCTCTGTGGCAAAATTTGGATCTAAAGGATGTTGGTAGTCGAAAAGCGGCGGTGAGACGGCTGCCTGATTCTGCCAACAAACGAACCGACGCCAACTTCACTAGTGCCCGAGCATTATGCGAAATCAAAGCCAAAGAGGCTGGCCGCCAATAGTCCGCTCTATCGCCGGTTACGCAAGGCACCGTCCATATTCATTTGTCAGCGACCTGCTTCTCCTTCCACTCGTCGACCAAGGTCTTGTAATCCTCGGGGCCGTACGGCTCAGATGCCTCGGCGATCATGCCGTTCTTTCTATGCACCTTCAAGCCCAAATCGCCCACCAGCTGGTCAATGTACGGAACAGCATCGAAGACAAAGTCGGGGAACTTGTCGCCATGCCCGGCAGGATACCGCCACTTGCAGAACCGGCTATGTAGAGCAGTCTCGTATCGCAGCTTTTGCAACGCCTTGTCATCAGTCGTCGCCTCGCGGATAGAAGGAAGCTGGCCATGGAAGTATGCGTCGATCCAAAGCGACTGCACGTGGGAGATCATTGCCACGGTAAAGTGCATCAACACGCCCGCAAAGGCAATATCACGGTGCGCGAGAAGCTTGGAGGACGGCGGCGCCATGAAGCGGTGAAGGACATATGGTGTGAGCGATGTGTACGGGTTGACGGCTTCAGTCGTTGAGACGCCCTCGTTCTCCACCAGCGGCTTCATCTTCTTGTTCTGGACGGGCTGGTCCTTGAGTCGCGGCCAGCGGCCGAAGATCTCCTTGTCGATGGTTTCGACCATCTCGGCGGGGGGAAGCTCTCAGCCGAAGGCGCATGGGGGATGCCAAGCTCCTTTTCGATGCCTTCGGGCAAGAACTTGATGGGCTGGAACTGCTTCCATCCGGTGGCGCAGCAGAGGGTGTCTGACTGCAAGGACGACCCGTCAGAAAGATGCACTGTGCCCGATGACAGCCTCACAAGGTCGGCGATGTGGACCTTGACCGTCCCGTTGCGAATGAGGTCGAAGAAGTCTGTCTCGTAGTTCAGGATGGAAAAGCTGGACGCCGTGAACATGGCTTCACTCCATGGCTTCAGCTTCTTCAACTCGGGGTGCGAGTCGAACTTGTTCAACGTGATGACGTCGTTGCCGAGGACGCTCCAAAAATTGTTGGTGATACCGCGGCCAATCGCCGTGCCGTGGTAGAAGTTCCTGGTCTTGACGTATCCGTCAGCGTCACCCCACGAGCAGGGGCTGAACCAGGTCAATGCCCGGGTGTGGACGAGCTTCTCGAGCCACTTCTTCAAGGGCGTGACATATGGAGGGGCCATCCATACGGGTCCGTGTCCCGATTCTGCATGTCATCAGTATGCGCGTGATATCTGCGGAGCGTGCTTAGTCACCTCTGATGACCCAGTTCACCTTGATGCCCTTGATCGCGTAGGCATACACGAGATCCCACGCCGACTTGGTGCCGCCGAAAACCGTGACAGACTGAGCCGAGTCGAGGGTGTCGGCATGCTGGAGAAAGTCCTTGCCGTGAAAGATAGGGGCGCCGAACGTCTCCTGGCCCTCAAAGTTGGGCAGGAAGGCCTCGGAAGTGAGACCGGTTGCGATCACCAGCTTCTTCGCAAGCACCTGGGATTCCTTGCCGTCTTTGCCGTTGAGAACCGTCAGGACCCAGCCGCCGTTGGTTTGGTGCTCTGCCGAAAGGAGCTTGTGCTGGAAGCGGATCTTGTCGAAGATGCCGAACGTCTGAGCGTACTTGGTCAAGTAATCGTGCAAAACCTGACCGGGGATGTGCTGTCCGGGCAAGATGCCAAAGGTTTCGGGGTCCATGGGAAAGTCAGGGTACTCATAGGTACCGAGCATGTTATTGCTCTTCAGCCCCGGATAGAGACGGTGCTCGGCCCATACTCCACCAGCGGAAGAGGCTTGCTCGAAGAGTGCCAGCGAGTTCTCCGGGTGAAGCTGGTGGTGAGTCTTGGCTGTAGCCAGACCGTACCATCCTGAGACCGCGTATTAGATCGCAGACCTGTGAGAGTGAATCGAGGTGGCTTCTTACCTGCCCCGATGACGACGAAGTCGAGAGTCTCCATTGAAGACGGCGGAGGTTGGCTTGCCAGGGTTTAGAGGGATGCAACGCCGACGCCCAAACCGAACCAGGCTCTGGAACCAAGACGAGTGATAAGAAGATGGAGTGACAGCCCGAGAGAGCCACCGAAGAGGAGTGAGTACGGTAAGTAGACGTCGACCCAAAAGAGACAACTGAGGCGATAAGGTGGACAGAAAAGGGAACGAGCTCACCTCGCCTACCCTGAGATGTGAATAAGCACTACTGTAGAACTCCAGCCAGAAGCCCACGCCCCGCGGGTAGGTAACGGAAGAAAATGGGACTTTTGCGACTTTTGGGTCATGCACATCCGCGTCCGAAACTGGCACTAGGCTGGCTGTCTCCTTGCGCCCTCCTGGGAACACATACTATGTACCTACAACTTTCGAAGAACCTGATTCGCCAATGGCAGGGGGCGTTGCATGAACCCTGTCCTGTCCCACCTCCTTCAGCGCGTTCTCCCGTTGAACCCAACCTCATCTTGCTTGCCAACTACCACGTATACTATGCGGCAGCGCAGGGAAAGGATCGTCGTTGGCTGTATGAACATGGCGACCGCGAATAGCGTGAGTATCCCCCTGAGTCGAGTCGTTGCAGAGAGGCCCACGCAATCCATCAAGCCGGTTCCACATTGAGAGTGTTCGAGCCGGAGTCGTTCCCCGAATGATACTATGATACATAATATTGGGCAGAAAGGATCGCAACCCTCGAAACGGTCATGGTTAGCCGTTGTAAACCAGCAGGGTCATTGACTCGTCCCAGGCGGAGTACAACACTCGTTTAGCGATGCCAAACTGGGTACGCAGGCTACTCACTCAAATATGAGTGGTTTTCCCTTCTCTCTCTCTCCGTATTCCCCTGATTCTTGATGGACCCATCCGCGATTTGTCGGGGCTTTGTCAGATGTTGAGACATGGCTATCAAGAGAAAGGGAAAAAAACCGTTGCGGTGCGACCGGTTCGTTAATAGGGTTTGGTGCTGCAGCGATCCTTTAGTGCAGCACGCAACAAAACCCCCGCTAACCCGGCTTGTCAAATACGGCACGTCAATCCCGAATAGGAAATCAGCTTAGTGCCCACGGACCCCCCATCCAACGTCAATCGATCACTTCGTCCTTCTTTGCCTCTTGTCTGCCACCGGCCAAAGGCCTCAGCCACGCGATCGACGGGGTACACAAAGTAACCTAGGATCGGTTTCATGTGACAGTAAACATCGCATTCTTACATGGAGACCGCTTGCCTTCAACAAGACGTTGGGTCCAGGAGGTTACGCTCCATAACTTTGCAATTAGGCCTAAGACGGCTTAAACCCGTGGTGCTGTGGGAGGCACGGTTGTAAGCTTTGATTTTGAATAATGCTACAGTCGGGAACCTTTATGGGCTCTCTGGATCGACGTAGTTGCACAACCGGTTGATGCAGGTAATGATTCGTCGTGTTGTGGCATCCAGGGGCATTCGATATAAGTAATATCCGCCTCCATTCCTTTCTACTACCGGGCCCACTCCCGTGGCGCACTCACGAGTCACGATCCGCCATCCGCACTTTCTAGCCGATCCGAACGGAAACCCCGTCCCACGGCATCGGAAGAGAAGCAACGGAAGTTACTTCTAGACTCAACGTACGACTAGGGTCTTGACTGTCGCCCACCACAGAGTCTCTCACTAGCTGCTGGAGAAAGTCGACTTGGCTGCGAAGAGTTGCAAAACACCAAGTTGGATAACAACTGATTGGAAGTATCGCATGTAATCCGAGCCTTGCATGGATGCAGAGAAAGAACTCGCTGTCATTAGGAGCAAGACTTGGTCTCAGGAGGGCCACCCATGCACTGCCACTAGACCGATGTGGAGAACTGTCACAGTCTATAGTATCCCACGATCAGCCGAAAGCCAAGAGGTTTTTCGCATGTGGCCCCCCTGAGTCTCATTGGCCGTCAACTGTGACATCTGCTTGGTGCTATCGGGTCGTCAAGCGTCTAAGGACAGGGGCCCAGACGCCCAGCACTGACAACCGTATACTATGTAGCAATATGAAAAAGAGTTTGCTTACGATGGGAGTGGGCACAGCAATCAATCTTGCAACATTGGGTGGGGAAAACTCGTTGTCCGATTTAACTAGATGTTGGCCTTTGATCCGCAGCCACCATATCCGGTACAAAGACCAAGGACAAATTTGGATTGCCCAATGAAGCGTTCAAAAAACACCTAGATTTGGAACGGAAGACAGATTTGCCTATGGACTGAAGATCACCCAAAGTGGTCTGCAAAGGATTTCAAGATCCATCTACAATACAGACAAGAACTCATTTCGGCATGTGTCCGTCTGTGGGACAGCGGCATGCAGCCCGACAATCGAGAGCAGCGTAGCCTAGCGGCTCGGCTTACAAGGATGGTCATGCAAGCGTCTGAAGACTTCCAAGCAGCCAGGCCCTCGTGTCACTTCCGATGCCCCTCTGTCTTCTCCTTTTTCTTATGCTTTCACGTTATCGGATGAGCTCATCTGCTAGTTCAATGATTCATCATTATCAGCTTGGTCGATCTTCGTCTCTTGGGTCAAACGCCTGCGGCTACTTGCTTTGGGGATCGCGGAGTATTCATTTTACACTTCTGCGATGGTATGTATAAGTGCCCGAACACACTCTTTTCACGGAAAATCCCTAATGCCGTTCATGTTGACGAGTTCCACACGTGGACCTGCCGATGGAGACTGCGATATGCAAATGTCCTGCATTGGGAACCCCTGTTGCTTCCCCCCTACATGAGTGAGACTGTAAGAGACTGTGATCTGCAAAGCTGCATGTCCATAGCTGTCGACTAATTCCGGAATGGTCTGTAGCAGAATTAGTCTTTCGATGGTGCTATAACTCTGCCGGGTCCGCAGGCACTCCTATTCTAAGCGGTGAGTTCCCATCCACCGACCGTCATCATACATGCTCGTGCTGTCCCGTGTCATGCTTTCGACATGTCCGAATTTTCGACGGAAGCCTTCACGCTTCTTGGCGTAGCCATCGCTGTTGTCTTCCTGCGAACATACGCGCGGGTGAAGGCCGTTGGCCTTAGGCATCTGCAGGCAGATGACTACCTCATGCTCTTCGTCGCAGTAACATCTCCTGCGTTGACACAGCGGCCGCAATGTCCAGACTCTAACACAGTACGCAGGTCACATACTCCGCTGAGACCGCATTGGCTTACAGCGTGGGAGCCTATTGGCTCGGCCTCGCAAACAATGGCATGACCGACGAGGCGAGAAGGAATCTGGACCCCAACAGCGAAGAGTTTAGGCTCAGGTATGAGGCCCAGCACCACGCCGAAGTAGAAGCTCCCACTAACACTAGGCAGAGTCAACGGGTCAAAGACTCAGATCGCGGGATGGATAACCTACAGCTGTCTCGTGCTATGGCCTGCCAAAGCCGCCATGTGCACTTTTTACGTGCGGCTTACTGTCAGTGATACCGATCTGTCACATCTTCGCACCCAGGAGCTGACACGACGTAGGAAGGACTGCACAACTATCGTAAACGGATCATTTGCGGCTTTGTACTGATTGTAGTGACATGGCTGACGGTGCTTCTTTCCATCATCTTGGGCTGCCGCCCGATGCACAAGAACTGGCAGATCTACCCTGACCCAGGCAGTACGTAGCAGGTTCAGTCGGATTCTGGAAGGAAGGCCTGCTAACATGACACCAGATTTCTGCCAACCGGCCATCTCGAAGATCAACATCCTCGTCACTGTCGTCCTCAACGTCCTCACAGATCTCTACCTCCTGAGCATCCCAATCCCCATGCTGTGGGGTGCGCAACTGCCATTGAGGAAGAAACTTGGTCTCATTGTGCTGTTTTCAGGAGGCATATTCGTGACCATGGCTGGTATCCTGCGCTGTGTTCTCATCATCACGGTATGACTAGAGCTTCGTTACCCCCTTTGAACTCCATTGACTCACGCGTCTGCCACAGAACCCTGTAACCGGCGCACAGCAGGCAGGCTCCTGGGCCGTCCGCGAAACCTTCGTCGCGATCGTGACAACAAACCTCCCAATGATCTTTCCCCTTGTCCGCCGCTGGCTTAGCCCCGTCTTCGGAACCATCACGACCACCTTTTCGCGAGGCACCAACAAATACGGAACCTCGAAGCGAATGGATCTCCCGGCCCCCGGAAGCATCAAGCTCGACGACGTCACGAACGGTAGCAGCAACGGTAACAAGAAGAAGGGCCGTCAGCCTTTTAGCCAGTACCCCATCACCGAGTTTACATTGTCCGGAAGTGAGGAGCACCTCAACAAGTCAGCGTCTCAGCCTGGGGGTATTAGTGTTAGCAAGAACGTGGAGGTCCGAGTCGAGGAGACAAAGAGGGATGCTGGGAGTAGGGGGAAGGGAAGTATGGAGAGTAAAATGGAGAAGGGGGATTGCCACTACTCGGTTAATGTTGATGGATGTGGTAACAGGCCGCCGAGGGCGATAAAAACTTCGAGGTAGCGGGGACTATGAGTTCTGCCCTGGGAGGAGAATGGGACAAGAATAGGGGAGCTACATCTGATCTGGCAAACCATTACGTTCCACATCGCTTGAATCTTATCCATGAGTTAAGGAAAAAAAAGAAAAAGGCAAAAAGGGAAGAAAAGAAAAGTTAACGACACGCGCCCAGGAGAACTATGGATCGTTCTGACCAAGCCAGGCGCACCTCATACCCACGCCGTAAATTGGAACGAGCTAGTCATAGTTTCTCCCATCATAGTTGTTGGTATAAGTAGTCGAGTAATGATGCCGGAGTAGGTGTCTTAAGAAACACGGAAGACACCAGAGCCGAATCGCTTCCATTGAGTCCAGCAGGACCGAGTAAGCCTCTCTCCACATCAGCAGTAAAAGACCCGAAGTTGCTCACGGGGATGTTTGTTTTCAGCTACTTGCTGTGTTCTCTTCATTTAGTTCAGAACATTGGGGTTCGAAGCTCAAAAGGCATTTTTATATTGCTCGATCATGTAACACTAGGTTTTGGTAGGTTCCGATCAAATGCTACACGAAAGATGCCTTGATATAAGTATACAACCTGCCTATGATTCCCGCCGTCCCAGAACTCCAGTCAAGACAGCCGTCGCTACGTTCGTGGTCTCAACCTCTATGGTACGCCCGGCAGTATCCACGCAACCTAGTCCCCTCCGCTGTGAGCAGTCCTCCATTGACACCCGGAGGATTCCTGCAAAAGCAACCACAGCAGTGACACCGCGAATGACGAGGCCCGCCGAGAGCGAGGTATGAGCCTTGAGACGCGACGCTCCTGGCCCCCAGGTTTGGGTTCCCTGCCTGGCGGCTAACACGAAAGGACCCAGGAAGAAAGACGCAAGAGGGTGGTGACGGAGATGGAGTGGTCTGTCTTTGGCGTGGCGGTGTTAGAGGCAGAGCTGGGGGGATATCATCTCCGATGTCTGAGGAGCATAATGGCGAGAGCGAGTGAGTTGTTGAAATGTATCCTGGTACGTCGAGGTCGTGAGGGCTGATGCTCAAGGGAGATATCCTGCCGTTGTGAGAGTACGACCTTGATGCGCGAGACTCTGAGGGTCGCCTAGGTGAAGATATCCATGATCCTTCTATCGTGGAAGGATTAGGGGATGCGGGTCGTGTGCTAGGATCACGCTCGATGCTGGGGATGATGTCGGGGAATACGTCCTGATCTGAGCCGAACTGCCGTAACTCTCTCGAAGTGGCTTCATAACAGCGCGGTGGATAAGGACGAAGATGGTTATCTCGATATGGGGCACCGGGGGGGGCAGTGAATCAAGGATGCCGTGCAGCCGCCGCCGAAGCAGTCGTCATGATGTGCTGGCGGTGGATATTCAAAGGTCGAGGAAGGGATGGCTTGATAGAATCTTTGAACACTGGAGAATCTGAATGGAAATACTACTCTGTGATGGAAGCGGTGATGGAAGCGGTGATGAAGTGGTGAGAAGGAGTTGTTGGCTGAGGAGAATAGTTGTGAGTGGCGGTTGCGACGTTGGTTGAACATCCTTGAGGGTTCTTTCGGCATTGTATTAGAAGATTTCTCAATAAGACGCTTTAAAAACTTGCTAGATTGCTGGCAAGGACATTAGCCGACTTGTGAGTTGACTGGAGAAGGATTAGTAGAAATTCGCAAGGTAGGTTGGGGAGGCACTTAGAGTCTGTTATACCACGATCTCTACTTGTGGTAGTGATTCAGAGATCATCAGTACTTGTAATGAAACATGGTAAATCAAGAGTCAGTTGAGGCTGCCAGGAGCACCGGGCGAAGTCACCGAAACAACTGTAGATTGTTTCCCTGGGGAATCAGTTTGCTTGTGTCAGATGGACCTGAAACTAAAGTAGGTGACATGCAGTGACGCATGATTTGGGGGTCGGTTAGGCCAATAAGGCAAAACACTATATACGGTTTCTCGTCACTAACAAGTATCACGCTGCGTGAAAAGGTGTAGCAGAAGTTTGACAATTAGTTGGGATGATGATTCGTAGTCGTCGATGAAGAAACAGGGTCATTGTCAATGCAGGCTATCAAGACCTTGATGAGGACCAGTAGTTCTACTGATCTAATTTGCATGAAGCAAAAATGGAAAAGATATAGCCAGAATGTTCTGTATGAGAAAATCTTAAAGGGCCGCAGGAGCCAGGAGCAATTCAATTGGCATCAAACCTAGAATCCTTGTCAACCTGTAGCACCGGATCGAAGAGAATCTTGGTCATGTTGCAGCCACCAAACCGACGAACCTCCCTGTCATCTCGCACCTATTGTGACAGGCATATTTCGAACCATAACCAGGGACGAAGACGGACAAGATACGCAAAATAAACCCCTAGCTGGACAAGACTATTTTCCCGTGGGGTTTGGCAGCTCAATGACGAGGAATGCGCTCCTGGGATCGATGACGGATATTCATAACAACAAGGCGCTGATTATGTTCCCAAGCTTTCGATTCTAGATTCTCCGACACCTTTAGCAACTCTGTTTCTGTTTCCCTGATATAAGCCAGTAGTAATCCCCACCAAGGCGAATCGTAGGACTTTTCATCGTCACCCACCAAACTTATATAGGTGTAATTAACTCCACACTGTGCCACATACGACCATACCCACTGGAAAACTCGGGATCCCGTCCGCTCTCCCATAGATAAGCCAGCGAGGGCCGGATTAGTAGTTGAGTCGGTGACGATCAGCGAATACCTGGTGTTGTATGTTTTTGTTTTGTTGTCACTCACCCGGGGGGACCTGATGAAGCTTCACAAGCCCCATGCTGAAGATACTCAAACTGGCCTACACTTGGCACACTAATTAGCTGGCCTGAATGAACAAATTTTATTTGCTTCTGACGATAACATCTCTCAGCCCAATGCTGTTCTCAGCAGCTGGTGCACCACCAGTAGTGCCGACTATGTACCGGATGTGGACATTTAGGGAGGAATGCGCTGTGTCCTGTGCAACACGAGCAGTATACATGATTTCGTGCTCGCTATCTGGGAAGAAATTGATAGAAGTGTGTTTGCTTATCCAGCCAAAGTTGTAATCATTGTCATCCCGGTCAGATAAATTACCTACGGGTCTGTGAACTTCATCCAAGAAGGATTAGGCAGTGGCATATTCCTCAATAATTGCACACATCCACCCAATAATTTGGATATATGGGTCTCATTGAAAACGATGTGGCTTTGTTAGCCTTTGTTAACTTCACCTCGTCTCTGGCAAACATTACCAAAAAAAGTTCCACAAAGACAATACAAGGCCATTGGTTCCGATACAGATACATAACTACTTGTTCGCAGGCAAATTGTTTTCCGCGGCCATGATAGCTTTTTTCTCCCGCCTTTTCTTCCTACACTTTCTCACACAACACCAAACGCACGATGCTATCATGAGGGCTCCAATGATTGGCATCCCGATGATCAAGAAGAACAGCGCACTGTGACTCAAATACTCCGAGCTGCTTGGAGGGCGGATAGGGTCGTATTCACCATCGCGGATTTTCTGGCCCGGCGTCCAGACTGGTACCACCATGGAGCTGGTCAGCGTGGGTAGCTTTGGTGTCAATGTTGCCGTATCAGATGCGGCCCACGTCACGGCCCAGGCCTCGTGTAATATGACCGTATACTGAGAAGTCGTAGCTGATACCGCCGGGTCAAATCCTGTCAGCCAGGTCTGCATCAGACAGTTTCTGGAACCGAAGAACTCGACAGTACCGAAGTAACCCTCTCTGTCTCTGAAGTCACTGCATCAATAGTCAGCAGCTGGGAAGGTTCAATGAGGAGTTTCAAAGAGGAGAAGAGAGAAAAACCAAATCATAGCAAACGAACCTTTGGCAGCAGAGAGCCGTCGATGCTGCCGGCGAGCCATCCTCAGCCATGCCACGGTATTCCCATCCTGTAGGACACACGCCGGGACTGAAGCTGAGACGACTTTCCGGGCCATAGCGATCCCATCCGGAGGGGTTGCACGATGCGGCAGGGTTGGAAACAGCGATGGGCAGGGATGTTAAGGTGCTCCCCCCAGTCGTCCACGTAACGGTCGTGGTCGACCACTGGGTTTCGCAGTTTGGCGGTTGCACCCACGGCGTGGTGATGCTGAGCAGCGAAGTGGCCGTGGCAATTGCGGATGTCGTGAGGCTGGAAGCCATTGTCGTTCATGGGGCGCGATACAAGTCCGCAACTTGGGTTGGTTACAAGGAAGTCATCGTGAAACGGAGGGGAAGGAACTTGAACAGGGGCGTGCTCGAGTTGCTCTCTTATATAGCACCTTGCTGCGTTGGGTGTAATGCGCCAAGGCGGCAAAGCAGAGACAAGGGTAACGCGAAATAGGCAGGACATGGGGTTGGCAAGCTGGATGCTAACGGCACCACTTTGGCCTTCAATATCGACGCTGCCATGGTAAACGCCAACGCCGACGTCTGGTTCAGGCGACCACTTCGGACTATAGGTCCTGCCCCCAATCATGACCGTTGCTTCGGCATTTGCTCCAATGACGGCAGAGAAGAAGATCTTGTCTTGTGTGATGAACCGTGGGTTCTGCTCAAGAGAGTGTAAATCAGTTATCCCTTCTAGAATCTAGCTACGAAGCGGAAAACAGTACAAATACTCGTTCAGAGAGGTCTGTGCGTTGGGAAGCCACACCTGTGGGTCTTCCCGCTTAGTACCAGCCACACGAAGCTGTCCTAGCTTCACGACATCTTGCATGACGAGTGCGGGGGGAAACTCTATCTGGAGCTGGCTTGCTGTGTTGCCGACAGTTCCGCCATCTGAGCACGCGCCGGCTGGACTTGTACGGTACCAGGCGACGAGCCCTTCTTGGGAAAAGGTCGGCTTGCCTGTCTTTAGTCGATCCAGAAAGGCAGCGTCAGACGCCAACCATCATGGGGCCTGTTTTCAGCGTAGTTGTACGGAGCCTTGCCGACCTCAAAAGCCTCCAGCGCATGGCTATACACGGGAGAAATATGGTGTGATTCCCCATAATTGTTCCATGAGATGATCTGTACATATCTGGTAAATACTTGTTAGCATGTGTCATGACATCGTATGTTAAAGCTCATGTTCCTCACTCAGGCTTGTTGTACACAACCTGGATCCATCGGTTATGCCACATATCATCACCGTGCCAAAGCCAGTTCTTGTTGTACCCGGGCATGTTGGTATAGAACCACGGAGAGACAGGCATCATGTAGGGCTTTTTGTCGAGGTACTGGAAGTAAGAAGCGTCAACGTAAGTATCCATGTCCTAAGGGCTCCATGGCCAGGCCGCCCAGTTGAATAAACCGTCGGCCACGCCATCCGCAAGTTCCATGGCAGGCTTGGCGCCTTCCAACGACCAGTCAGGAATGAAGAAGCAGCTGACTTGTTTCTTGATGTCGATTCAATCTTTAGCATTCCCAGGGCCTTCAAAGGTAGAGACCAAGGGTTTGCCATCGTTATGTTTGAAGTACTCGCCCCTAGAGGCATATTTCTTCAAGTAACCAACAACGGTGTCCTTGGGCCAAGGTCCTCGACCGGCATAGTCGAAAGAGAAGAAAAGCCTGAAACCTTCATCTTTGGCGATGCTGAAAGCTCGTTCCAGTGATGGATCGTTGACGGCCTCACCACAAGCCATGTTAAGAGCAAAGGCACCGATGTGCGCCTCTTTGGCTAGACGAATGTCTGCTCGCCAGGTTGCGTCTGTGTAGCCGGCCGTGTTGCCAACCTGCACAAGTCAGTAAACAGTCCCTTAATGTTGGGTGACTTTATAAACTGTTCTTCTTAATAGCGTTGTAAAATACTATTGTCGCGATGCCCTCACGCGCATCGCGCAGCCTTGTGAGATTTGCGCCGGGCCCGGATTAACTATTAGTCTGGTCCCTTTGTGTAGATCCACCACACAGGATACGTATTTATTCGTTTTAAACAAAGCAATCCTATACATAGAAATCTAAGCCGTTTTTTTTATATCTTTTTTACCCTAAGTAGTGACTCTATAACAATTATAAGCTTAGCTTATATTATACCCTTAAACCACTATATTTAAAGTATACTATAAGCTAGAAAATCTCTTTTAAACGAATTATCTCTATTTTCTTAAACTAATATTTTTAATATATTTATTTTTGTTAAAGCTATAAGGAAACTTAAGACGTAAAGTAATTAGCCCTTATAGTATATAACTTTTTAGCTTAAAGTAAAATTAAAGTATATCTAAGAATTTATTAACTTAGATAGACCTAAATAAATAGAAAAAAGTAAACCTAAATATTTTAATAAGATCCTAAATACCTTAAAGATTTTTGCTTTTAATAAATTTATTATTAATATAAATCTTAAATAAACTAATAATAAACTTTTTCTAATAATAGCTAATTTAAATATTAAGGTTATATACTAAATATATATCTTAAATACTAATATAAAAAAGGCTATTTAAAAATAATAAAAAAAAGTATTTAATATAATTAATATATAAGTAAAAATATTAGTTATTAAATTACTTTTTAAGCTAGCTTAGATAAAAGCTTTAGTATAAAACTAAATAATATTTTGCTTAATACTTAAGATTTTTAAATAATAATGTTGAATGGATTCTCTCTTCCTGAGAGAACCCGTTTGTACGATCGTACTCGGGTTAAAGTTAGGGTGAACCAAAGATGTATTTTCCGTGATTATCTGCCTAACTACAAGACTTGGCTTTTGTACACGAGATATATGATCTTGTACGTCCCTGAGTCAGTTCGGCATGAATATACTTTTGATCCCCTCAATGGATAACCGAGGGCCGAATATCCAGTCTGTGCCCTCTGCCATGATGTGTGTCCCTGAGTCGTGCGTGTCGTACAACCAGCTGGTGCTGTTATTCCAACACTCACAACTTTTTCTTTTGTGACTGCACGACTCCCTGCGGTGTCCAATCAGGTTGCGCTGATTGTGACATCAATAACCTCATCGTACAACCCTGTGGGTTAGGCCACTTGCGTTGTACGATAAATCACCAATATCAAAACTCCAGGCAACTGTCCATTCCCTTCTTGCCTGGTTGAGCAGGCAAGTCACGTGTTGGTGAAGTTCCCTCCTTCCTCGTTGACTTCACTTCTGCTCCTGCTGTTAACGTACCTTCCTTCCTTCGTACGGTAACCTTAGGTATTTAAAACCCTTCTCACTTGTTTTTCTTTTCCTCTTTTCTTTTCTTCTTCACCCTTCGCACGCGTCGTTTTCTCATACAATCGATCAACGACGATCTTCCCCTTCTTCCTCAATCAACTCCAACAACAACTACTTGTACGTAGGATTTCCTCTCGTACGTTTCCTCTTACTGATTCATCAGTAGCACCTCGCACGATCAATCCATCATGTCTCTCGCTGCCACCGGTGGTTCGATCTTCGGCAACATCGGCATGCATACCGATGCGTCCGGTGGTCGTTGGCTTCGTCTTCCGACTGGCAACGCCAACAATCGCGCTCTTCTGTTGGCTCTGGCCATCAACGTACGTTGCTTTTGTCCTTACCTTGTCTTCGTACGTTAACCTTGACTGCAGGATGAGGAGCGTCTCATCATCAACATGCCGTCGCGCGATATCGAGATCCGCGTCACTAGCAACACTTCTGTCCAGCAGTTTGTTGCCAGCATCATCCGCCGCCAGGGCTACTTCCTTGCGGTCTTGGTTCAGTCTCGTGGTCGTGCGGCCATTGCCTGTGGCAATAAATGCGCGACTACTGACTCCCCGCGCTTCCGCCAGTGCACCCGCATTCCCACCTTTCAGGGTGGCGCCTGCGCCGAGTGCGTCTAGCAGTCGCACGGCGCTCGCTGCACCCACCGCGGTCGAGATGTTGATTCGTCCGACAACCCGGGCGATGATGATGACGATGATGACAACGGCGGCCCCAGCAACTACAAGGCTCCCAACGTCACCAATGCTCGTGAGCCTCGTACGCCTGGCAGCAAGCTTGGCAAGAACGTCGGCAAGGGCGGTCGCTTCCTTGGCACTTCTGCCAGCCCCATGGTTATCGACAAGGAGTAATCGCACAACTTCTCTTCCCTGAAATCTCGTACGACAATCAGATGGATTGCACGATATGGTAATTCGGGAAGGTTGTGGATATGGTGGAGGTACGATCCGACATTGAGATCGGCATTGGTAGTGGTCAGGTATATCAGATACCTTCTTGAGGTTACACTTCGTTTTCAGATAGTTGGTTACGTACGGCGGTGAGGTCGTACGAATTAATTGTCAAGTGTTTTCTCCTAATCTTTCAACGTACGCCTCGATTCGAATCCTTAATGTGTTTGTTGTAATCAATTGTCTAAGTGCTGAGTTTGGCGATTTCTTGGTGAAGGCGTCGGCAGGGTTATCTTTCCCATCAATCCATCTCACTTCTGAGATCTCTTTCTTTTCGTACGACTCACGTAGACTCATAATATCAATCATAAGCCTCTTTTCATCTGTTGTGCCTAGTCGTACGAGGCACTCATATAGAGATCGTGAGTCTGAACAGATGATAACTGGAATCCTTGGGAGTTGTAATGTATGAAGGATCTTGGTGAGTGTCGTACTAAGGGATATCCCACTATCAAATCCTGTGGTCATCCCGTACAACTCGCTTGCAAGTACGCTTCGTGTGACTCTCTTGCACTTTGTTGAACTCCAGTGTATAATGTTTCCTTTGATCTGGAAGTCTGTTGTCGTGCGAGCTGTTTCCTCAGCTAGTATAATAACAAATCCAAGTTGTGACGATAGATCTGAGTTGTTTGCAAATGATCCATCTGTAAAGATATACATCTTCGCACGATGGAGATCAAGAGGGATATATGTAAGACCTCGTGTAGAGTTATCGATTTGCCACTGAAGTCGTACATTCAAAGCTTCAATATCCTTCTTACCAGGTTCCTTAGTTTGGGCTGCAGTTGACAGGTCGTATGATGCCTCTGGTTGACAGATAGATGCGAGGTATGCTCCTCTTGCCCTTTGGGAAACATACTGCTGATGTGCATCGTGCGCATCAGGATCAACGAGTTTCAGGTGCTTTGCCTGGCCTTTTTGAGTAAAGGTAATATGGTCATCGTGCGATTGAATCCTTCCCCCATTAAAGTCAATTTCACTGTTGGGCGATAAGGTGGTCTTTGGTTTCGCACGAAGTCCTTTCCTTCTCAGCTCTTCTTCTTCTCTCTGGGAGAAGGCAGGTGTAGCAAAGCTAAGTGTATCGTCTGTCTGTATAGCTGTAATCCCGAAGGTATCCGGTCCTTCTGTTGTATACAGCAAGCATGGATCGTACGTTGACTCTGTCATCTTCAGATCTTTCTTGTGATGCTCAGAATAGGTTTTGTACCAGTATAGGCCTGACTCTGCTAGGCCGTATAGTGGTTTCAAGATATGGAGAAGTGTGTTCTTAGGGTATTTGTCTTCTAACTCCTTGGGTAGTCGTGCGATAATCGTCCTGGTTAGACGATCGTCCGATTGTGTATATGCCTGGGTTATGTCTCTGAGTTCCCCTTTGCATTTGTAGTCTCGCACGAGGGTAGGTCCAATCGCAAGTATGAGCCTTTGGCTCATCCGTTGGATAGTAGGTGCCTGGGTTAAGAGTTCTTCTTTCTCCCAGTCCCCATACCCTTGTACGACAAGTCTTGACTTCTCGTACGGCTTAGATGACAAGTTCTTGATCTCTCGTACCATCCGTGTCTTGTAGATACGGAGGTGGTCATGCTCTTTTGGATTGTACGGTACAAAGGTAAAGACTCCCTGGTTAATAAGGTTGTCTATCTCTGTTTGGTCTGACTCTTCGTACGGAGCACCTGGTGTTGTAATCACATTGTCAAGCCGTAACTTTTCTGCTAACTCCTTGTGGTCTTTTTCTTTCTGAGATAGAAATGCCTGATTAGTACGTGGTGATTGTCGTACAGCCCTTCTCTGGCCTTTCTTTGGTCTTCCTCTCTTGTTTGGCTGTTTCTGAGGAATAGGTCGTGCGATATCTGAATCTGACTGTGCTGTGTCTTGATGGTATGGTTTGACATGTGTCGCACGAAACTGTGTAGGACCATTGACCATCTTGACTGTCACCGTATGGCCTTCTATAGCCTGGACTTTGTACGGTCCAGTCCATCCCTTGTTTTCTCTCCATACTAGAACCTCACTCTGGATCGGTAGTGATAGTATGCTCTGGAGGTTAGGGCCATTTCTGGTGTTGATCGCACGATTGATCTCTACTTCTGCACGAATGCTCTGAAGCATTTTCATTGCCTTTTGGATTGCTTCTGCCCTTTGGGTGATTTCGGGCGATGGAGGTGAGTCCTTGTTAATCCTTGGATATGTACCAAAGACAAGTAGTGTAGGTACGATGCCGTGCGGACCAGCTGTGTCGTTCAATGCCTTCACAGCCATCTGGAGGATGGTTTCCTCGTCCGTGTTGTGCCCAAGCTCAGCATACAAGATATCGTACGCACGCCTCAGAGGAGCGTGAGCTCTTTCTATCTTGCCTACTGCCCAGTGGGCTTCTACTGGCATTTCTTCGCACGATATGCCCATGATGTCGGCATAGTTCCTGAATTCTGCTGATGCGAAGTTTGTACCTGGGTCATGTACGATATGGTCTGGTGGACCAATGTACGTGCTGATCCAGCACTTGCAAAGTGCA